TGCCAGAAGTGAGAGCAGCAGAAAAGAGCAATACCAAGAAGGGGGCTTACTTTGCTAGGCCACGGCCAGCCCCATACACTCACTGGTGATAGCGGCTGCAATCTGCTGCTGCGCTGCCTCCCTGCAGTGACAGTTCCCTCTGCTGCGTCACAAGCTCTCTGGAAGGCGGGAACAAGGCAGAGGAGGGCAGGAGGTAAGCGAGTCGAGGCCCTGAGACATGGAAGGCTGGATCCGAGGCATTACCGCAAAGGGGCAATACCAGACTCGATTATTGAAAGTGAAAGAAGCAGGAAAGAGGAACCACAAGGCAGAGGGATCACCTTGACAGGCCCCATACTCTCCCTGGTGATAGCACTGCCTCCCTGCAGGGGCAGTTCCCTCTGCTGCGCCACAAGCTCTCTGGAAGGCTGGAACACGGGATCTCTGTGCTGTGGAAGCTCCCTCTTCCCTACGCACTTGGCTCCCGGCTGCTGCTGCTGCTGCTGCTTCGCAGCCTCCTGGCAATGACTCCCTGGAAGAGGAGGAGAACGGGGGGGGGAGAAATGCAGGCTCGGGGGAAAAAGAGGCATGCAACAAGAACTGGAACAAGAAGGAAGCATGGGAAGTGGGAGGAGGTGAGCGGAACCATGGCAAGCGAGTAAAACAAATGAGAGAAAGAAGCAAACGAGCCCATGGCACCATGGCATGAGAGGGGTTGAGGGAAGAAGGGAAGGAGGAGGTGGGAGGAGAGGGGGGAGAGGAAACAAACGAGCACATGGCAGCAAGGCATGGGAGGGGTTGGGAGGAGCGTGGGAGGCGAAGGGCGTGTGGCGATGGCAGGCCGTGGCAGTTTGGCAGCGAGCGAGCTTGCAAGGGGGGACTGGGGTAGAGGGGACGCGGGCATGAGGATGAATGCATTCTAACCCCCCACGACTCTACCATGCGCTCAGCTGCCTTGTGCCACGGCCCACCATCGCCACACGCCCTCACACTCCCACACACACTCACACCCCTTACAATAAATTTTGGAATTGTATCGCGCGCGAATAAAAGCGAGACAAGACAAACGGGAGTGGAGTTGAGAGCACTTGACCAGAAGTGGCTGTGGCTGAACGCTCTGGCTGAACGGCATAGCTTCTCCTCCAACTCTCTCGTCCGTCGCCCGTCACTCAGGCATGTCGCTTGCAATTTGCCGCCGGCCGTTCGGCGTGCGTCGTTGCTCGCTGCTCGCTCATTGGCCGTGCGTTGTTGCTCGCAGGTCGCTCGGTCGGTATGGCCGAGGCCCGTCACTCGCCATCCGTCACTCGTTGCTCGCTGCTCGGACAGGGGGAAAAGGAGGCATGCAACAAAAACTGGAGCAAGGAAGCAGAAGGCCCGCGAAGCGAAGAAAGTAGAGATGAGAGGTATTGAGAGCAAACGAGCACAAGGCAGCACGGCATGGGAGGGGTCGGGAGGAGCGTGGGAGGCGAAAGGTGTGTGGCGATGGCAGGCCAAGGCAGTTTGGCAGCGAGCGAGCTTGCAAGGGGAGACTGGGGTAGAGGGGGACGCGGTGCATTCTAACCCCCAACGACTCTACCTACATGCGCTCAGCTGCCTTGTGCCACGGCCCACCATCGCCACATGCCCTCACACTACCACGCACACTCCTAACCCACTCCTTTAAGATTGCGCATTAGCACAAGTGAATCAAAGAAATACCAGGAAATGGGAGTAAGTGCCACTTATCCGAAATTAGCTGCGGGCGTCACGCTCTCGTCTGTCGCTCGTCACCGAGGCGAGTCGCTTGCCGTTCGTCGCCCGCAGTTCGGCGAGCGTCGTTGCTCGCTGGTCGCTCGGTCGCTATGGCGGACGCCTCTCGTTATCCCTCACTCGTCGTTCGTCTCTCGTTTTTAGCTGGTCGTCTTCCGTCGCTCGCCATCCGTCACTCATTGTTCGCAGCGTTCCGTCCGTCGCTCGTCGTGCGCTGCTCGTTGGCCGTCGATCGCCATCCGTCTCTCGATGTTTCGCTGCTTGTCGTCCGTCACTCGTCGTCGCTGCTCGAAGTTCATCGCCCGTCGCTCAGATTCGTGCTCCTTCACCGGCGTCGATGTTCCCGCTCGTCGCCGTTCGCGAAAGGAGTTCTCAAGCTGCCCGAATCGCCTTGGTTTTTGCCGTACAAATGAACCATCGCTGCAGTCGATTCTTAATCGCCGACGCTGAGAGCTCATGTCGACGCCGAACGTTGAACGCGACGTCTCGCGTATGAACTACTTCTAATCATGAAAATGCTACCGTCGCTTCTCCCAGGTAACAGCGGACGTGGAGGTCTTACTGCTTTCGCCATCAGGGTCGTTACGTCTCAGAGTACGAAATACTGATCGCGTTTGTCGTGTCGCTTTTGCCGTCAAGAATAGCTCCTTACAAACACACCATCGGACGACTCTCCTAATCGATCGTCACCGTCGTACACACCCCGTCACTCCTAATCGATCGTCACCGTCGTACACACCCCGTCAACGACAAGCCTAACTAACGTGCAGCTCTATCGACGATCGATGACGCTGTCGCAACAGCCACTGTCATTGTTAAGTAGCAAAATAAGTTCCCGAGAGCTTAAGAATAACATCACCGCTGATAATAATAGCGATGAATAGTCAGGCACGGGAAACAAACTATCTGGCGGTTAACGGATGGTGAAGTCTTTTGGCTTCAGCTACACGAGAGGTGGCAAGCATTGTCGAGCCATGGGAACTCCTACCAACACGAAACTTTGATGATCAATCCGCTGTTAACAACGTAGCGGTACGTGGTGGTGGCTGCTAAAGCTGAGGTACTTGATGAGCCATGGATCCAAGGACGCCATGAATATAAGAAGCTGCCATGCAAACGAGCAGAGCCTAAGAGCCGGGAATGAGACTCGGTCATTCAGGGAAAAACTGGATTAGTCACTAGAATAGCATGCAGACCGAGGCAATTCTCAGGCAAGGAGGGATAAGGGGATGCCTGGGGGGTGGATGTGTGAAGGCCGGGAAAGCAGAGCAACAATCGCCTTCCGCCGCTCATGGATTGCCTATCTGATTGTCAGTTTCGCGAGGCTGGATGTTGGCGACAGGATATTGGTTCGCTGCTGGAGGATAATCTCTTGGCGAAAGCAGCACTGCGTTTCGTTAGCATAGTTACTGAAAACCTCCGAGTTACAACCGATCGGGTATGGCGTCTTTGAGCGGGAGCCGCCCAATTGAGTGGTTGTACCTGACAGCCGTGCCAGTGATGGCGGGAAATTTATTCACGTACCCTGCACCTCACGATCAACGCGAATCGAACGGTTCTAAGGTGTTTTGTTTTAGCTGAGTCTCAACTCAAGTCTCAAGCTGATTGCAACTTCAAATTCACTGTAGTCCTGTTGTCGTCAATCACACCATTTTGTTGCACCCTTGCAGCTCGTGCAACATGTTCTTTTATTGGACACATGTTCTTTTATTGAACGCAATCCATGTTGCACACTTGTGGTTTGGTGCCTGCTCGTCGATTCTTCTTCCTACTGGCTGTTCAGTGGCGCATTCTTGAACAGTTTCGGCTTTCGGGCAGACCGTCGTCCGAAAATACAATTGCCAACTGCCACCAGTCCGGGCTGCCAGCTCTGCCAGCTCGGCGGGGAAGCATGTTGGAAAATTGCACACCCCTGACCTGATCCAAAATACAGGTCTTGCAGTTGCAGCCACCCTGGACTGTAGAGCAGGTAACTGAAGCCAGCACAGCCCGCGATCAGCCATTCACTTCGGCTTTCCTCTTTCTGAATGTCCCAGAGCGGGTATTAGTGCGGTTGAAAATGCTGCGCCACGTTTGAAAGCGGTTTGTTCCGTTCACTGCTTTTGCCCTTTACCGCTTTTGAAAGCGGTACAGGCGACCTACCTACTAGGTGACCTGCTTTTGCCCTTACTCTTGCTGGAAGGAGCTGGAACTGCTTGGCAATGGAGCGAGCTTATTTTTGTAATTCGTTCTCTTGAACTCCCGTGTAGCCGTTCATAATCGTAGGTAAAGCTCTGCGAATTCGCTCTGAATTGCACGAAGCAGAAGAAGGTGCCTGTGATGGCAATCCAAGATTCTGCGTTGCTGCTTGGTTTGGAACGCCTCGTGCCAGCATTAGTTTTGTCATCAGACGGCAGAATTCAAGGGTGCACTCCTGCTTTTTGCGAAGTAATAGGCTTGGCGGAGGAGGAAATCGTAGGCAACAGTTTCTTAAACTTCGTACATAAAGATGAGAGGGATTGCGTCCAGGTAAAACGCGCTTAGCAATATCAGTTTCTTTAGTCGAAACATCCCTTCTGATAAGGTTGTTTAGTGATGCAGAGTGCACTTGGCGTGGCGAAGGAGAGAACATGTATTGACCTGCGAATCTCTCGCGACTTAGCTGCCTGTGCATCATGGTTCGAAGCGAAGCTGACAAGATGCGGATGTGACGGCGAGCCGTCACAGTTCGTTTGTACATTTCACGACATATCGCGATGGAGAAGATTCGAGGTTAGGAATTCGTTTTATACGAGCCTGTTATGACTCTTCTCTGCGCATTCTTACCGTAACCATGTTCCTACGCCGCAGGATATTGCTCATAATGCTCTCGAAGAGTGTTTCGCTCTTGCTAGTTCAAGGTCGAATTCCTCCCAGGAGCGAGCGTCAGCAGCAAGTGACAAAGGTTTCCGGGAGCAAGTGTCCCAACTGAAACTGGCCCTTGAGGCGGGGTTGGAAAGCGAGAAGTTCAGACGGATTTTTGAGATGTCCATGGTGAGTTCTTGCTTGTTTTTTTTTTTTTTTTAGAGACGTCTCAGAACGAATTTATTCTCCCATGGTGACTTCTTGGTTTGATTGGTCATGGCTCCACTCTGCTAGATTCCAGAGGATAAGGGCGTGGTCGTCACTTGCGTGAGCAGGACCCGATATTCTTGATAGGAGAAGACACAACGGTACACCAGTGCAATGAGGCTGCTCTTCGCATTCTGAAGCTCAACGACATGTCCGAGATCGTACAGAAGCTCACGGTGCCGATGGTGTCTCCAGAATTTCAGCCAGATGGCTCGAGGACACTAGAGAAGCTCCAGAAGTTTTGCCAGCCTTTGTTTGCTGGAGAAACTGTCACAGGAGAATGGTGGCACTACAATGCTGAGGGGACCCTCTTTCCAGTTCTTGTGAAAATTCAGGTATATGCTTGTGCATCATGATCACTTTCGTTGGTTCAAATTCTCCAGAGCTAACCGAGTGGGTTGTTTTTATTGCTACAGAATATCGTTTCTGATGGGAAGAATTACATGGTCTGTGTCTGGCATGACCTGACTGAAATTAAGAGACGCGAGGCTGAGTTGGAGAAAGCGAAAGAGGCTGCAGAGGCTGCTAACCAAGCCAAGAGCCAGTTTCTTGCAAACATCAGCCACGAAATAAGGACACCAATGAATGGTTGGTGATTGTTTGTTGAATTCTTCTGGGATGACTTTTTGGTTCGGATAACCCGAGAACTGTGCATTCTTACATCGCATTTAATGTTTCATGTTGAATTTTCTGCCAGGAGTGATTGGTGTTACTGAGCTGCTCCTAAGGACCGAATTGACAGAGGAGCAGCGGTCATACCTGGAGGTGATTCTCTCATCAGGAGAGAATCTTCTAAACATCATCTCTGATGTGCTCGACATCAGCAAGATTGAGGCTCGTTCCATTGTGCTGGAGTCCATACCTTTCAGCCTTAGAGAGACCATTGAAGACTCATTGTCCTCAGTTCGGGTGTTAGCACTGCAGAAGGACCTAGAGGTATGCCACATTGCCATCCTCCTTGTATTCTCGCATTCTCTTCTCTACTGCGCTTACTCCTCTAAATGCTTGTTCTGCATTGTCAACAGCTAAATGTTTTTGTCGAGGATGACCTTCCTACCAAAGTCATTGGAGACCCCACCAGATTTCGCCAGATTCTGCTCAACTTGCTTTCAAATGCAATCAAGTTCACTGAGAGGTAAGCTGCGGGGAAGTTTGCTTTACAGTTATTCTGCTTTTTCTTGTTCCAAAATTTACTTCCACCTGTCAACAGTGGCAGAATTGAGGTTCGAGCTAATATCAAGGACGCAAAGGACTCGCTGGCCGCCAACCCCCGTCTATCACCATGCACTTCGTCATGTGAGTGTTGAGCGTGTGAACATAGAAAATTGGTTGTTATTGTAGCTTTTGCCTCATCTGTTTCTTTTGTGACCATGACAGGGGTTGAGGGAAAGGAGGCTGGAAAACGAATCAGGATTGTGACGGATGCGGAGGATCCGACAGGGGGAAGCGACATTGATTTCTTGAGCACTCTCATTCACTTCGAGGTGTCTGACACCGGAATTGGAATCTCTGAGGACATGATTCCTAAGCTTTTTCAACCTTTCACACAGGTATGTGCACTATATAATGGCTGGACTCTGGCACTTCTTAGTTGTCTGTCGAAACAATGGTTTTGTTTATACTTATCGGATTTTCTTTTACAGGCAGATGAGTCAACCTCAAGGAAGTACGGAGGCACGGGGCTGGGACTGGCCATCTGCCAGTCCCTTGTGACCCTCATGGGCGGTAAAGTATCTATCTCATCCACACTCGGTCAAGGTTCAACTTTCTCCTTCACTCTGCCATTTCGAGTACCAGAGACAGCTTCAGGCCCACCACCAGAGACATCTCCTGAGATGTCCACTTCAGGCAGGGACAATGCTGTCCCTGGACTGCCTGCAGCATCAGTGCACCTTCCTCCCCTGCATGTTTCATTACCCCATTCAACCTCCCTCGAGTCCCCTTCTCCACTGGTAGAGCTGCGCTCGTTTGCGGGGCTGAGGTGTCTGGTGGTGGAGGACAATCCGGTGAACCGAATGGTGGTGGTGAGGCTGCTGGGCAGCCTGCAGGTCACCTGTGACGTGGCAGAGGATGGGGTCAAGGCCGTGGCAGCATGCCAAGCCAAGGAGTATGACGTCATCTTCATGGTGAGTTGCAAGCTGGTCTATACTTGGAGAGCTGGAGGTTAAAAGGGGGGGAGGAGGGGGGGGAGGGAAAGGGGAATGGGGAGAGTTGGGGCAATGATGGCTTGATTTGTCATGGATTAGTCATGCAAAGAGGCTGGCGTATTTGCTTTCATTATTCTTATGTTACCTATGTTTGAAATCTTTTGCAGGATGTTCACATGCCAAAGATGGATGGGTTTGAGGCTACTCAACGAATCCGTCAGCTCAAGCATCATCCAGTGAACAGAATTTGCCCGGAGTGCTGGAAGGGAAGTGATTTCCAAATGACCTGTTTTTTCAAGCCATACCATTCCCTGAGCCGGCCCGTGATCGTGGCATTGACAGCAAGTGCCCTCCAGCATGATCGTGACCAATGTGGTCAGGCTGGAATGGATGCCTTCTTGACCAAGCCAGTGAGGTTACAGCATCTCGTGAGTGTGCTTGAACCTTGTAGTTTTTTGCAAGGTGGTTGTGACAATCATGCTGCTGAGCAGGATGACATGGAGTGAGTTATATTACACCAGCATTTGAAATTGAATATAATAGTTATATGAACCTCAGACTTCATTTCAGTGGTTGGACGTGTGAACTCTATACTGTGTTTACTTGTGAGCCAACAACTTCAACAAAGTTGGGGCCAGTTACGATTGCCGCAGCAGACGTTGGTGCTGGCAGAACGAGGGGATGGGACGGGATAGGTAGGATAGGACGCGTTGGAGAAATCAAGGGCTCACATCACAACAAGAACGTGTCACCTGAAGCTGGTCTGATCGGCACAACTTGGCATGGTTGGCATAACCACCGCAGAATGCCGCACTGAGCCACGTGTGCAGCGATCAACGGCGCATATTGTTCTGCTCCAAGCTCCCTTCCCTTCCTCCCTCCATTGTCAACCACCACCTTCTCCACAGTAATCGCCACGCCAACCATGGCTGCTTGTCGTTCGTGAGCAAAGCACGACTGTACAATATCAGATTCAGCGGTGATAAGCAGAGCAAGCAGGAGGGTATGGAATCGAAAGTCAGCATCAAATCAAAGGACGGGCATATCACTCGCCATGAAAGCCCTTCGAGTAGGGATCGAGCAACTCATAGCATACAGTCGTCGAACATCGACGGAAACAAGGTCCTTTGGTGCGAAGCATTCCGCTGGTCCTACAGTCTTTATGATCCTTAGCGAATCGTACGCTAAGGTTAGGAAGGCAGGTGACCCCTGTGTGATTCGATACTGGACCTTTTCAGCCTGCGGCGAAACCTTTGACTGCTAGAAGAAAAACGGTCCCTTGTTCTCTCTGCAATTTTTGACTGGGTCCGCAGCAAGTATAGCATAAGATGGCGTCATTGCGTGTCTCCCAGCAGTCGGCGCTTTCAGATGTAGCCTGCGTCGCCCTAATTTCTACGCACGGCGAGCTCACGGATTGCAGGTGTGCTGCTGCTGCTAGTAGCTTCGTAATTTCGCACGATGCATCATCATTACACTTCGACGTGCATCGTTAAGGAATTCTTGAATCCTTTTCCTGCAGTTCGGCCTTCTGTGAAGCTCTTGGTTATGACCAGGGCGAGATCGTCCACCGTCCATTCGAAGAGATCATAGATTGCAACCACAGAAGCCGTTTTCAGGCACGTACACTCACCTCCGATTGTCTCTGCGCTGTGTCATCTACGGAGTAACCTATAGGCGTCGCTTGGATTGTGTCAGTATACTTGCTTCACCTATTGACTCTACAAGCGTGTTGCCTTCCACTTCCCACAGAGTGCACTGAAAAAGGCTCTTCAAAAATCAGCGTTCGAGCTTCATCTGAGATGTCACAATGGCGCCACTGGATGGTTCCATGTCTCCATGACACCGGTCCTATCAGATTCCGCGGATGGCCCATCCTCCTCATACTGTTGCGTGTTCCATGATATTTCCGCGCGAAAAACTTCTGAAGTATGTAGCGACGAAACCACTGCCTCCCTTAGTTGGCAAACTGAGTATATTTCAGAATCAGTTTTTTTTTTTTTTTTTTTAAGAAGCACACGGGATGCACCGTGAGGTGAGCTGCTCTGATCTATTTCATCCTCGGCCTTACGAGTCTGTCCAAATTTGCTGTAAATGTTACAGGAGCGGCTATTGGAAGGGCTCGGAAGGTGCTTTAAGCTATGTGGAGCATCTTTCGGAGAATTTGACCCCCCGTCATTGTATGAAGACCCAGAGACCTTTCTCCACCGGCTGAAGCTGGTTGAAGATACACTTCAAACAGGGCAGGAGAATGAGAAGTTCAGACGAATATTTGAAATGTCCATGGTAAGGGCCACGAGAATGTCTGCAATGGCACAGATATCGACTTTCGAGCCTGAATGCAGCGTTACGTTGGGGTTACGCCGCATGTTGGTTCCTGGAGGCTGGAACTGACACTTCTCACCAGAATTGCGATGCCTCAGTCCGCCTCAATATGTTGCATGAAATCTCCCTTCGTGTCTCATTCCCTCAACCTGCTTGTCCCCAGGATCCGGTTTTCATAGTTTCTGACGAGATGGTCATTCAGGACTGCAACGAAGCAGCCGTGAAGATCCTGAAGTTCAAGGACAAATCCGAGATAGCGGGCAAGGTGGACGTTGCCAGCCTGACGCCTGAGTTCCAGCCAGATGGGACGAGATCTGCCCACAAGCTGGCTCAGTTCAGCCGCCCGGTGCTCTCAGGAGGAGGCTCTGCCATCGGCGAGTGGTGGCACTATGCGTCGGATAAAACCCTCATTCCCGTCCTTGTGAAAGTTCAGGTGTGTTGGTGTTTTCATGGTGTGTTGTGGTCTGGGGCGTGGTAGTACCTGAAGGGTGCTTATGCGGGACCTCTTTTTCATGTCGTTCAGTGCGCCCACTGCAGCTTGCCTCCTCTTTCCCGCCTTTCTTCCCCCCACTCCCTTTTCCCTCCCTGTCCTCCGCTCTCCCAAGATTTCAGCATGTGCTAGTCACTTTGTATCAGTAAGGCACTCTCACTGGGCACGGGACAATGCGGAGCTTCTTATTGCACTGCAACCACCCACAACCCTCCGCATCCCTCCCTCCCGGCACTCTCCCCTCTCCCCACCCGCCCCCACCTTTTCTCCCCCCTCTCGCTCACTCTCACCCCACCCCACACGTGCCAGTGCGTGCAAGCCAACGGGCGCAGTCACTTTGTGACCGTCTGGCACGACCTCACAGATATAAAACAACACGAGCAGGCGCTGCACACGGCGCGCGACAACGCGGAGCGAGCCAACGCGTCCAAGAGCGAGTTCCTCGCCAAAATCAGCCACGAGATCCGCACCCCCATGAACGGCGTGATTGGAGTCGCCGACCTGCTGTTACAAACCCAGCTGAGCGCCGAGCAGCGGTCGCTCCTCGAGGTGATTCGCACGTCTGGGGACTCGCTGCTGAGGACTTGGGAGATTGTATCTGACGTGCTGGATAGTATCATACTAGCAAGATGGAGGCTCAGTCAATGCAGGTGCTTGTTTGTTGTCAATGCAGGTGATCCGCACGTCAGGGGACTCGCTGCTGAGGATTATATCGGATGTGCTGGATATTAGCAAGATGGAGGCGAACTCAATGCAGCTGGAGGCGGTCCCGTTCGACCTGCGGGCTGCGGTGGCTGAAGCGGAGTCCACCGTGCATGTGCTCGTGCTGCAAAAGGGGATTCAGGTTTGTGCTCTGCTCTCTGTCTCGCAGCCCTGGCTCTCTCCACCCGTTTCCCCCTTACCCGCACTCGCTGCTGAGGATCATATCGGATGTGCTGGATATCAGCAAGATGGAGGCGCACTCGATGCAGCTGGAGGCCGTGCCGTTCGACCTGCGGGGTGCGGTGATGCAGAGTCGACTGTTCATGTGCTCGTGCTGCAAAAGGGGATCCAGGTGCGCTCTCTCTGTCTCTCAGCACTTCCTTTCTTTCTCCACTTTCCGCTGTTTCTCCCTTACCTGATCCTTGTCCCCCCCTCTCCACCAATCTCCCCCATTCGCCTGCTTTTGCATCCCTTTCTCCCCGGCCCTCCTTCCCACCTTTCCGTGCTTTCTGTCCGCAATGATCCACCCCATCCCCTGCTGCATTTCATTCCTTTGCTGCAACAACAGCCCCACCTGTTCTACCCTCACACGATTCTGACACGTGCACCCGTGAATGTTTTCGTCCATCTCCTGCTCTTAACATGCACACGCCTCCTCCCGTCTCCCCTTCCTACCATGCACACTTCGCCTCGCGTCTCGCTCTCTTCCCATGCACCGACATGGGATGCGGCCCTTCCTGCGTTCAGCTTCTGGTCGATGTGGATCCATCTGTGCCTTCGCTTGTGGTTGGGGACCCCAGCAGGCTGCGCCAAGTGCTGCTGAACCTCCTCTCCAACGCCATCAAGTTCACTTCCAGGTGCGCTCTTGACCACGGTCCATGACGAGGCACACGTTTCCTTTCAGAGTCTCAGGCACGTCAGGTGGGGGCGGGTAGAGTTGAGGGTAGAAGAGATGTGCATATTGTGAATGGAAACACAAGGTCATTTCAGTATCAGGTGTTTGTTGTCGTATTGAAGCCCAAGTGCTTGCTGATACGTACTAACAATCCGTGTTCCTCTCACCTTGCAACAGGGGCCATGTGAAAGTGCGCGTAAGCTTGTCAAAGGCACTAGAATTTCTACCAGCGTCAGCACAGGCAGATGCAGTGACAGCAGACCCACGAGCTGCGTCAGCACAGCAAGCAGCAGCGTCAGCAGAGGCCGAAACTGCGTCAGCAAATCCTGATGAAGCATCATCACCAGAACCGAAAGCATCTCTTACAAAGCCCAGCCGAAAGAGAGTGAGATGGGAAACGGGGGATGAGAAGGCAGGATTCGAGGATGGTGAGAAGAGGACAAGATTTGAGGAAGGGGGGAAGGGGGAAAAGAGGGAAGGATACGGAGTTGGAAAGAAGAGTGATTCCTTGCATAGGCAGGCGTTGGAAAGACTGGGGACTGCTAAGATGGTAGGGGGCACTGCCGGACCTGGAAACGGGTTCCAAGAACCTGGCAATCTGCCAGATGAGAGAGAGAGGAACGGCAAAGCGCAAGTATTAAGTGAAAGACCTTGTTGCGAGCATGTGTCTGCTGGGCCGTCAGCCGATGCTGATGTTTCATGGGAAGAGCAGTCAGGCCCATCAGGAGCAGCAGATGTTTCACGGGAGCAACCAGGTGTGTCAGCAGCAGCAGGAGATACGAATTTTGAGGCACCTCAAGAAGCGAGTGCTGAGCTGGCACCTGCCGCAGATGTGTCACGGGACCACTCAGACCCATCATCAGCAGCAGCAGCAGCAGCAGCAGTTGTTGTTTCACCGGAGGAGCAATCGCACCCACCAGTACCAGCAGATACGAACCTTGCAGCTGAAGCCGCACCAGTGAAGACACAGCATGAAGACAAAGCTGTAGCAACCAGCCCGGAGAAACAAGCTGCGTCTGCCTGCCCGTCTGAGAATGGCACTTCCGTGAACAGGCCCCTACCCCTAGAGAAGCCGTGGGCATTGACAGTGCGCTTTGAAGTGACAGACACTGGGATCGGCATTCCACAGCAGATGCTGCCCAAGCTGTTCCAGCCTTTTACACAGGTAGGCCAACACATCAGAGCAGCTCAACTGTTTCCTTTCCTTCTCCTTGTTTTTCCTGCCTCCCCCCGACCTTGCTCTCTCCAACCTTTATGTTTTCCTTCTTCTTGCACTCCTGCTGCCTTCATCTCGCGCATTTTGTTTTTTGTCGGCCGCATTCCTCCCTCCCTCCCTCCCTCCCTCCCTCCCTCCCTCCCTCCCTCCCTCCCTCCCTCCCTCACTCACTCTCTCCCTTCCCCCCCCCCTCCCTTTCTCCCTCCAGGCCGACAAGTCCACCTCGAGGAGGTACGGAGGCACGGGGCTGGGCTTGGCCATCTGCAGGTCGCTGGTGACGCTCATGGGGGGAACCATCTCCGCCTCCTTTTAACCTCCCTCCCTCCCTGCCTGCCCCACCCCTTCCACCCCCCCTGACAGGCAGACAAGTCCACCTCGAGGAAATATGGAGGCACGGGACTGGGCTTGGCCATCTGCAGGTCGCTGGTGACGCTCATGGGCGGAACCATCTCTGCCTCCTTCCAACCTCCCTTCCTCTTTTCCTGCCCCACCCCCTCCTGCCCTCGTTTTCCTCCCTCCCTCCCTGCAGGCAGACAAGTCCACCTCGAGGAGGTACGGAGGCACGGGTCTCGGTCTGGCCATCTGCAGGTCGCTAGTGACGCTCATGGGGGGAACCATCTCCGCCTCCTCCCGCCCAGGCCACGGCTCCTCCTTCTCCTTCGCCCTGCCCTTCACTCTCCCCACTGGGACCTCCCTGGAGACGCCTGACAATGCTCAGACACCTGATGCATCACATGTTCGTGGTTCTGCTAAGTGCACTGAGGCAGGCAGTGTTGGAACTGCAGATGGGACGGGTGGGACGGGTGGGGCGGGTGGGATGGGTGGGATGAGTGGGACTGGTGGGACGGGTGGGACGGGTGGGATGGGTGGGACGGCAGGAGTGACCGTGGGCAAAGGCAAAGTACAGATGCCTGTTTCGCATGACTCCCCTGTTCCTGATAGCCATCCGTCAAGCCGGTTACATCCACCCACTTCCGTTCCATTCCTCTCGTACACTCAGCTCCCAGCTGCCACTGCCAGTAACAGCGGTGGGGGATACACACTCTCACCTGCCATTTCGCCTGGGCTCTCCGGTCTGCCTTCATCCACAGTCCCACCTGCCATTCCACCTGCTGTGTCGGCATTGATTTCACCCGGAATCGTACCCAGAAGCTTACATCCACCATCACCATTGGCAGCACCAGGTGCACCATCATCAGCATCATTGGCATCATTGCCTCATTCGGCCTCTTGGGAGTCCTTTTCTCTAGTGGCAGCAGCGGCGGCGGTGCGCTCCCCTTCTCCATCGGTAGAGCTGCGCTCGTTTGCGGGGCTGAGGTGTCTGGTGGTGGAGGACAATCCGGTGAACCGAATGGTGGTGGTGAGGCTGCTGGGCAGCCTGCAGGTTACCTGTGACGTGGCAGAGGATGGGGTCAAGGCCGTGGCAGCATGCCAAGCAAAGGAGTATGACGTCATCTTCATGGTGAGATGTCATGTGTAGTAATGGTAACTACAATCTGCGGTTGCGGTTAACACAGAACTGTGTGGTTGTGACGATCCATGTGTGGTTGCTTTCGTTTCTTGTGGCAGTTGAACGTCTTGTGTGATAACGGGGGTGGCTCAGTTGTTTCACTCCTCCCCGGCCTCTCTTCTTTTGCTGTTGCTAAACACCTGCAGGATGTGCACATGCCCGAAATGGACGGGTTTGAGGCGACTAAAAGGATTCGCGAGATTTCTGAAACAAACAGCGGCGGCACATCACCACTTGGGAGACAGTCAGAGCACGGTGCAGTTGTTAGCAGCAACAACAAGTATTTCTTCAATCCTTCCAGGACGCTAAGCAGGCCGCTTATCGTTGCGCTGACGGCAAGTGCGCTTAAACATGAACGCGATAAGTGCGCAAGTATAGGAATGGACGCTTTCCTCACAAAGCCAGTCCGCCTTCAAGATTTAGAAGCTGTGCTGAGACCCTGCTTTTCAGGTGCGAATGATTTCAGAACATGTGAAAATATTCCATGAGATCCTTTGTTAAGAAGCTTGCAAGGAGCAGCATGTTTCTGCTCATTAATATATTATGGTATTACGATATCATACGATATAGTGTCTAAGATTTACAACTGAAACCATGTTTGGACATCATGTTTGGTGCCGGAGAAGAGCCGCACGTTCAGTTTGGATGTGAGAGTCGCAGAAATGGTCGCTACAGTCGGGAGGGAGTGCCACGTCTTGCCAAAACCTGCATCGCACGCCGTTCTTGAAGGGCGGAATCAGCTATGCGAACCGTCCTGTCGCAGAGCGCGGTTCATAGTGCTTAGCGAGCTCTGCACAGCGTCGTTCGGAGTCGTTCACCGTCGCTCAAGCGAATATGGAGGTGCCGACTTCTGACGAATCCCTTTCCCGCCCTTGGCGCCCGACTGCACATCGTTGCTCAGTTCAGAGCGCTTCGGATAGAACCATTTCTGAAAAGTTTCGTTTTGAAGACACTTCTTTTTGTGCCGCCGACTTTCAACCCGATTCTTGCGGGTGTGGGCTGCCTCTTCATTTCATTCCATCGAGAAACAAATATCGGCGCCTATTTTTCGAGGATTCCCTGGCGCATGTTTTCCATTCTCTTTGCGACGTGTCGTTCGGGCAGCCTTCCCAACGCAAGTTCTGTCGCGCCTGGATCGAGACTGGTGCACTGCTGGGCGTGAAGTCGGGTTTCTCCTTTCGAATAAAGACCATCTTTGCTGCCCCGAATTCTGTAGGAGATTTACTATATTCCCAGGGTTGGCTTGGCTTGTAGGACCGATAGCATCCATCGCTTTTCCCATCCCACATGCCATCCAAGTCAACAATCTCGTCTCTGACGGGGATCCTTCTGTACACCCTACCCACAATCCCCGCCATGCCATTCCGTTCCGGATTACACATGCAAGCGGTGCCATGCAAGCTTCAGTCTTGTAGCACACATCCCATCCCAGTTCCCGTCGCGTCGCATCGCAGAGTCGCAGCATGGGGAATGGGTGAATGAGAACCAGCATGGCGACCCACACGGCAACATTTGCTGCCCGTTGGAAAGCCCAGATGCTCGCATCGGCTTGGCTCAAATGTTGAGTTCAGTGTTGCCTTGGGAATGCCATCGGCGTCCCGTTTTGGCTCCTCAATCGCCTCATTCAAACTGGCATACATCGGAGCAGTAAAGTAGCGACTTCCTTCTGTCCTGTACACCATTGGCACACCATACTGTACACTTAGCTTCTCTGATAGTTCATACTTGAGCTGAATTTCTTGGTTTCGACCCCCTTTTCTCATGTCTTTCATCGTCTGAAGGAAAGCCATTCCGTTCAGGCCTCTCCTCTTCCCTTTCAAAGAACATGTAGATTAAACTGCTCTCGCCGAGTAGCTTTACGAGATTTTTACTGTTAGAGAGCTTCGGAACAGTCACTAACGTTTTTTTTGTGCTGAAAGGCGGACTGGCCTTCGGCAATCGAGATCTTATTTCGGGAATAAGTGTGTGTGTGTGTGTGTTTTGTTTTCTCGGATCGATTCCCGAGAATAAAAGAGAAAACAGAGAAAAGCTGACATTAGAAGTAGATAACGGGAAGGCATTGTTTTGATCACGATGGACGACTCGATCATCTTGGACCACGTCCTTTTGCAGCTCAACACGACTAAGAGCAGGTCAGCGAGTCCGACCCTTAATCTTTTGGGATTTGAGTAGGAGTTTTGTTCGCCTTGCAGCGGGAATTTGATGACTTGATTGAAACAGAGGCCGATACTGTGATCGAACGAATCGAAGCCTAAATCTGCTCCTTTTACCGGTTTCCGAAACTTCCATGCAGATGAGCTTGTAGATTGTTTTATCTTCAATATATTTTGCAATTACCGAAGCTTGTGTTTCGGTTTTCGTCTTCTCAATTATCATTGTCATTTTCATTGATCCTGCTGTCTCTGCATGCGATCCTGTCCCGATGCAGATGCGACGTGGTCGTATCTTGTAACGGAGAAGCCACTATCGTGTCCACCGGGCTAATCCGTCCCTTCGCGTCGCACATCAAGGCCGTAGACGACCAATTCAAGAGCGGCGCGCACCTAATTAAGCTCGACCCGCGCGAATGTCGCGATTTTCTAGACCGGCAGCGGCTAAGAAACCCGCTAGCAGCAGCAGCAGCAGCGGAGGATCAAGCTGAGGAAGACACTCTTCTAGGATGGTTCACATTAAAAATCGTTGAAAGGTCAGCTTCTCCCCGCTCCCCCCTCTCCTTCCCCACGCGGTGACCATCATCCTTCGAGACTTTCTGAAACGACTGTAATAATCATCCCCGTCATTGTCGGTGTACCATTCACAGGATTGTAACGTTCGTGAAGTCACCTGGATTGCTGGAGCGCCCTGAATAAACTCGCTATAATTATCCCCGTCACTGTCTCTGCAGGATCGTAACATTCGTGAAGTCGCCCGGGCTGCTGGAGCACGCGGTGACGATCGAGGCGGAGCTTCAGAATCTCGACGACACCATCCATGGCGGCGCCGCTGCCTCTGAGCCTTTCCAGGTACGCCGGAACAAGTCAAACTCGTGAGACTTCCGCATTCTTCTGATCAAAACCCGTCCATGCCACTTGGAAACTGGTGGAAACCTCACCGTGGTCATGGCGACTCCTCGCGCGTGGCTTATTGGTCGCTGGCCACGCCGCCCGTGGCTGATTGATCCCTCGGGCCATCGAACGTGACTGACTGACCGCTCGCCCCCGTCATGCGCGGTTGACTGACAACCCTCTGTGCCACGGCAGGCGGAGCAGCAACTGGACGACAGCGACGGCAGAGCGGAGGAGGGCCTGAGAGGGGCGACGCCGCTGAGGGACCGGCTCTCGGGCCGACGAGCGTCGTCTCGCTCGCCGTCTCCCGCCCGAAGCCTCGTGAGTTTTCACATCCCCGCTCGTGTTCCCGCTCGTGCTCACATCCCCGCTCGTGTTCCCGCTCGTGCTCACATCCCCTCTCGTGCTCCCGCTCGTGCTCACATCCCCGCTCGTGCTCACATCCCCGCTCGTGCTCACATCCCCGCTCGTGCTCACATCCCCTCTAATGCTCGTGCTGACGATGTTTGGGACGCCTCAAGGCGTGCGTTGCTCACATCCTCCGCTCGTGTCCCCGCTCGCCTCGAGACTAACGATACGGTTGTGTTGACGGTCGTTCCTTCCTGTGTTGCCATTCTCTGTGTGCGTGAATGCTGCAGAACGGATTCAAGACAGATGCGTCCAGCGATAGCAGCGAGCGAGAGAGGTGAGTTTGAGGTTGACACATCGTGATGCATGGCCTTCAGGGTATAGAGCCGTGACGCTACCTTGGTTCGTTCTTCTCAAAAACGAGTTTTGGAACGTCTCCTTTGTTTCCTTCGAGACGCCTCAAGAATTGCTCCGTTTTGGCCCCCCTTTTTCCCCGCAGTCGCCTGCGCCAAGCCAAGGACGTGCGCGCGGCCATGCTCAAGCGCGAGCAAGGCGTGGCGATCGCGCGCGCAGCGGCGGCGGGATTTTCCCCGGACGTGCTGCCGCTGCTGCTCTGCTTCGCGGATTGCTTCGGAGCCGTCCGATTGAAGCACGCGTGCGTGAAGTTCTCTTCTCTCGTCCGCCGCCAAGACTACGCCTACGCGGAAAGCCTCACGCGCGCGCAACTCGCGCAGTCCGCCGCGCATTCAGGCGGCGCCGCAAGCGCCGGCGCGGGCAGGGGCGCGGGAGCTTCGCCACCGGTGCAGCCGCCGCAGCAGCAGCAGCAGGCGTTCGGGCTGGCGGCAGGGCGAGGCGGCGGAATCTGGTTACCCGACGGCCACGTCGCCGGTAACACGGTTACAGGGACCCCTGGGGGCTATTACCCCTTCGTTCCGCTGTATAACGGGGGTATGCCCGGAAGTATCCCCGGCGCTGTGGGTCCCGGAATATCTCCCCCTGCCGGGACCCCTATTACTTATGGCCTCGTCGGTCCTAACGGGGAGATATACGCCGTCGCCGGCGGCAGCGGCGGAATGGGCGGCGGAATAGGCGGCGGAATGGGCGGCGGGATTGTCCGCGGAGGCAGCGTCGGCGGCGCGGGGGCGGGTGGTTGGGGAAGTGCCCCTGGCTTTGCGGGGTACAATAGCCCGTTTTCCACGCCCGGGGGTTGGTCTGGGGAGGACCAATCAGAATGGAGCACGGACGATACTAACGGAAGGGGCGGGTACGGAACTGGGCCGGCCGCGTTTCGCGGCGACTCGCCCGCTGCCGCTAGACGGCGCCGGCCGTTCAAGTCCAAGTCGGCTAGCCGGCTAATGCCATGGCAGCAGCGACCGTGGAGCGCGGCGGGATTCGCGGCGAATAATGCGGGGGCGTCGACGGATTTGTCGGATACGAGTAGCGCGGTATATGGAAGGGACGATGTGACTGAACCGAGTGTGCTTTTTCCGGGAAGGAATTTGGTAGAGGACAGCAGCGTCGCGAGCTCCGTCGCAGAGAACCAGCTGAGCTGTTCGGCGAGCCCGCTGCGACCAGTGAACAGTCGCGCGACGTCGCCGAGGTCGTCGTCGCCTATGTCGCGCGCGACGTCGCAGGAACTGAGGGATTTCGTTGCAGGGCTTCAGAGGAGAGGCGCGAAGGGGGAAGCGGGGGTCGGCGGAACAGGCGTGGGGAGGGAGGCGGCAGGCAGGTTAGACTTAGTCGCTTCTGCGGTGGGGATGAAATCGGACGGCGGAGCGCTGATCAGGAGCGGGAGTGGCTACGGGAATGCGTCGCATATCTCACCTATCATCCGCTCCCAGTCCGCGTATCATGTGCGAGCGGGGAGCGGGGGAAGGGGCGCGGGGACAGGCGGAGGAACAGGGGGGGGAGCAGGGGGAGCAGGCGGCACAGGCAGCATAGGGGGGCCTGTTGATATCTTGATGGTAACCGCCTCTACTCCCAAGAAGGGTTCTCCGTGGGCGGGCGCGGATGAGGGTCGGGATTATCTGGGGGAGGTGGAGCTCAGGGGAGGTACGACCGCCCTGAATGACCGTAGATTGGTGCCTGGGGAACTCGAGATGGAGATCATGGCAGGGTGGGCGGGGGCGGAAGACGAGGGGGAGGAAGACGTGATGAAGGGGGAAGCGTTCCGCAACTCTCTGGAGGCTGGCGCGGGGACGGGCGGAAGGGGAGGCGGAGGGGCAGCTGCGGGGAGAGGTGCGGGGAGAGGAGGTGGGGGAGTGGCGGAAGCAAGGAGGGCAGCGGGGGGGAGAGGTAGCGGAGGTATTGCGCCTGGGATGCGCGCAGGGGAGATGGGTTTAGGCGGAATGGGCGCTTTGGCGCGGAGCAGGAGCATTGGGAGCGCGGGGAGAGGGGGAGGAGCGGGCAGGGGGCGTGGCGGAGGGGGAGGCGGAGACGGAGGCGGAGGGGGAGGGGGAGGCGGAGGGGGAACGGGGACGATGAGTGTGCAGGAGAGGGCGATGATGGTGATGGAGAGGAAGCAGCAGGAAGCTGCCAAACGCAGGGTGCGTGACCTTTGTTTCGATGTTCCTTATTCCTGGTTTCATTCTTTGATTCTGTGTAGAATGCGCTCTTGCTCTCTTTGCGTCAGTTTGCTTATGAGCCCCTTACCTTTTTTAAGGTTGACTTTGAAAATTCTCAAAATGAACCGAATTCAATGTTTCTTGCCCCTTCACTTTCTCCCCCCTCCCCCACCTTCCCCTTCCCCCAACCCACTCTTGCATTTCCCTGCACCCACCCTGTGTGTGATTCCAGGAGGAGGAGAAGCGGCGGCAGGAGGAGGCAAGGCAGCAACGGCTCCTCTCTCGTGCGCGCCTTCTCCTCTGCCTCCCTCTCTCACGCACTTACCCCCGATATGTCTTACCCTCCGCTCCCCGTTCCCACCCTCTGTGATTCCAGGAAGAGGAGAAGCGCCGCCAGGAGGAGGCAAGGCAGCAGCGGCTTCACCGCAGCTCCTCTCTCGTGCGCTCCTCCTCCTCTGCCTCGCTCTCTGAGCGCCGCCGCTCCCTCTCCTCCGCCTCCCAACCCGTTGGTGCTTCTGCTTCTGCTGCTGCGGTTGCAGCTTCAGCCAGGGCTGCACGAGCAGCAGCTGCTGCAGCGCCAGCCAGCACGGTCGAGACACAGAAGAAGCAGCAGCTACCCTCCCCACCCACTGCCTATCGTCGTCCTCTCTCTGCTCCTCGCACCTCCAGGCCTAGTTCTGCTGCTGCTGCTGGTTCTCGCATGTTCTCCTCTTCCTCCTCTCTTACTGCTCCCACTGCTGCTTCTGCAGCCAAAGCAGCAGCTGCCAGTGCAGCCCCCTCTGCTTCCACCTCTGCTGCAGCCGCCTCTGCTGCAATGGTTTCTCGTGCCCGTGCCCGCGCACCAAGCCCTGATCTCTACCGCACAGGCAAGCTCGGGCAGCAAAACGGGCAGCAGCGAATCTCCGTATCCCAGAACGTTCCTGGAAACCGCTTGCAGGGAGCAGCTGCTGCAGGCATAAGGGGCGGGTTGGCTATGAGGAGGACAGGCAGCGGGGGAGGGGGATCTGGGGGAGGTGCTTCTGGGGAAGGTGGAAGTGGGAGGGACATTGCTGGGCTGGTGAGAGGAGGAAGGGTGGTTCGGTCCCAGAGCGCCCATGTGGTTGTGAGGGATGGTGCAGAGGAAACGAAGCAAGAGCAGGGATCCAACACGGGGCGAGGAGCATCTGCTTCTCGGGGCCGCGTTGCTGCTGGGAGTGCAGGAGGGAAGGAACCAGTAGGAGCAGCAGGGAAAGCAGCAGGGAAAGCAGCAGGAGCAAGAGCAGGAGGATCAGGGGAAAGAGCAGGGAAGATTGTGGAGAATGACTATCCGGTTCTGATGAGGAACAAGTCTCCCGTTCGAGGTAGGGAAGCTGGTGTAGGGAGTGGGAAGGGGGTCGATGGGCCGAGTCAGGAGTCCTTGCTTGTGACTTCTCTTGAGTGCTGGAAGTTCAGTGAGTATGGACAGGCGGCCGCAGGAGCAGCAGTGGGGAAGGCGGAAAGAGGAGAAGTGGTAACAAAGGGAGAAGTGGATTTGGATGCTGATTTCAGCTGGATGCAGGGTGGGAGCAGCAGACATGATGGGGGATTGGGTGTGCAGCAGCAGCAGTGGCAGCAGCAGCAGCAACAGGAGAAGGAGCAGCAGCAGCAGCAGCTGATGAAGCAGCAGCAGGAGAAGGAGCAGCAGCAGCAGCTGATGAAGCACCAGCAGGAGCAGGAGAATGAGCAGGCGTCCAGTGACAAGTGCATGGGTCAGAGGAGGAGTAGAAATTGGATGACGGATGTCAAGTCTACCGAGCATGATTATGTAGCTGCGATGAATGCTGCCAATTCCATGAAGGCTGGAGCGGAGGAGCTTGTATTGCTGCCAGCTGGGAACACCCTTGGGTCTGTGACTCAGTCTGGAGGCAAGGGTGGGAGGAAAGGAGCAGAGAAGGCAGAGACAGGAGGAGAGCAGAGCCAGGAGGAGTACTGGAAGGGGGAGAGGAGCCGAGTTGGGAAGGAGAATAAGTTGATGCAGCATTCTCCACTGACCCATTCGAGTTCGGCGTCAGGAGTTCCTGGCTATGCGTCAGGAGGTGCGGAGCTGGAGTTGGATTTCAGGTCAGGTTCGTTTGGTGACAATGACCTCGGTGGATGGGGGATGAAGTTTGCCCAATCCGCCTCGATCAAAGCAGCTCCCGGGGGTAGTAGCCCAGGGGGTGTTTGGAATAAGAGTGTATTGGGTGAGAATAACGCGTATTCAGAGTTGGGATTGGAGGGGCCGTTTGGAATTTTGGAGGAGGTGCCTGTGGAGACGAGGAGGGAGGCTACTGACGAGCAGGTGAAATTGAAGGATACAAGGAAGAAGCAGGAGAAGGAGTATATTGAGATGTTGAGAGCCAGGGATGCAGCACGGAAGGCGGCAGCTGTGGAGGATTCGCCTGTTGAAAAGAAAAGAGGGTCAAGCCTGATGAAGATGTTCGGATTCGGATTTTGAATAGATACTAAAATAACTAATAGCCGCATATATACGTAGCGGCATAGTAGAAGTTCTGTTTTAGGAAGTAGTTAAATGAACAATGCTTACAAATCGGTTCCTGCTGCGTTCGCCAGCATCTAACGGAGTGCCATCCGGTCCGGACCGGACGGAAATAGTGCTCTTGCTGGTTTCTTTTGCTCTGAACAAAATCTTGTATCGCGTACGTCGAGCATCCCCATTTATGGTCATGCGGAGGTGGTAATTTGTCCCGCATTCGGTTGTCTTCCCGCGGTACCCATAGACGCGCGGATTTACTGCCGTTCGGTTATTCATGTTCGCCGGCACTCCCGTTGCGTACATTGCTTCGCTGATCTTCCCCACGGCCCACGAGCTTGCCTTGTCCTGAATCCGCCACGTTTAGCCCCCCGGAGTACCAATAGCAGTATTGAGATCGTGCAGGCTGGTTAAATAAAAGAGCATCTGAAGCGCGCTTGAGGCGAAATGCCGAAGAAGCTAGCTCCCAACACCAAGGCGGAGGAGGCGCGCGAGCGGAAGGAGGCGGCGGCGAACGACAAGAAGCGCGCGGCGGAGAAAGCCAAGGAGGACGCGCAATGGGCGGACAACGCTCCGAAAGGCCGCGGCGCGAAGAAAAAGGAGGAGGACGAGCAGAAGCGCGCGGAAGCCGCGGCGAAACGCGCTGAGAAGAAGCGGCTCGAGGAGATCGAAGCGCAAGAGATGGCCAAGATCTCGGGGAAGGGGATCTCCGTCAGTGGCGCGGGGCCAGGGGCTCGGCGCGCAGGCGCGGGGAGCAGCGGCGGGGGAGGCGCGAAAGTGACCCAGGCGGAGCTTGCGCTGATCAAGGAGCGCGAGCAGAAGGAGCTGGCGGGCGCGGACGCGGAGAGGCGGAAGAAGGCTGCGCGGGTGGCGGAAGAGGCGGAGTATGCGCGGATGCTAGAGGTGGAGAATACGAACCGCATGGCGGTGGCGGTAGATGCGCGGAACGTGGGGGAGGCGCTGAGTCAGCTGAGCGTGGCTAAAGGGGAGGAGGGGAGTGCAAGTGTGGATAAGCACCCTGAGAAGAGAATGAAGGCCGCGTTTAAGGTGAGAAGAGGGTGAAGGAAAGGGAGAGGTTCTGAGCATCCCAAAAAAGAGAATGAAAGCTGCGTTTAAGATAAGGGGAGGGTGAGGGGGGGGTTGAGAAGAGGAGGGTGAGAGAAGGGGTTGAGGCAAGCGGGAGGAGGAGAGGGGAGGGGAAGATATTTGAAGACGAGTTTTGGAAAAGATGGGCTCTAAGGTGGGAGGGAGGAGGAGGGTGTCTCAAAGGGTTGTGGGATGTTTCTGTCAAGGCAGGTGCAAGTATGATACTTGGGCCTCCTGATGCCTTGATGCCTGGTGCCTGATGTAGGCTTCAGTCATGTGCACCCTGATGTTTCTTTCAGCCTAGTCTCTGGTCAGCTGGTTTCAGGGCATTCGAGCCTATGCTTGATTTGATACTGTCCAGTCCACCCTCTTGCACCTGACTGCTTACTTTGGTTTTTTTTTCCTTCCTTCCACCCTTTTCCTGTGGTCTTCCTTCTGCAGGCGTTTGAGGAGGCGGAGCTTCCTCGCATGAAGCAGGAGCAGCCTGGCTTGACCCTCACGCAGTACAAGGAGCAGATCTGGAAGGCGTGGAAGAAGTCACCACAGAACCCCATGAATCAACAGTGATGATGCCTGGTGGTATGTAGTTTTTGCTTAGTATTGTGATCTCTCTTTTTTAGTTTGAACTCTAGTATGGTGCTATGGTAGTGCTTGCTGGAACTGCTGTTTATTTAGGACTTTAGTGTGCCTAGATTCTAAAGCTCTATATACGGAGTGTTGTTATGTTCCTTTAGAAACTGCAATTCTTCGCTCGGCCCAAACTGCGGGCATCCTCGCTAGGGGATTTGGGTTCCAAAATTGGACCGAAACAAACTCCCGTTCGGTTCGGAATTTGCACCTTCACTGCTTCGACACCCAGGCCTCTGCGTCTCCTCTGCTTCCTTCGGAAACCTCCAAATTCGCCTGCCCATCAAATCATGTTTGTCCATGAAGCATGACTGTTATGAGTTGTATGAAAGAAGAGTGCGCAGTATTCAATAACGCGGAAGTGATTACAACTGCTGAGCAAACAACGAGGCCTAGGCATAATATAGCGAGGCTAGCTAGGCCGAGGTCGCGGAGTCGCGCGAAGGTCGGGTGTAGGTTTGGGGTTGGGAAACCCGAAGGCGACGCGGAGGACGTTCGGAAGGCGAGGTCATCGGACCGAGCCTGAACTCCGAAAAGTTGGACTTGTACGCGTACGGAGTGCCTCAGTAAGGAATTAGGAAAATTCCTTACACTACCCCCCCCTTTAAGAAAGGTGGTCAATATCGGGCACGCGTCGGCGGGAAAGATAATCCCGGAGTACCGATTGGCCTTGTAGTGAGTCGGCCGGGACCCACGGGTCATCGTCGCTGGTGCGATCCACCCATCGCAGGAGGAAATCAACGTGTCGTCCAGCTGGTGTCGCACGAATGCGATGGTTCAAAATCTTCCAGGGCTGGAGTGTCGGGTCTGCGACGGGCCGGACACTTGGCGCAATGTTAGGTCGAGCGATGTCGGACGGCTGCGGAGCCACGTAGTGTCGAAGCAGACTGACGTGGAAAGCGTCGTGGATCTTCCAGTCGTCCGGTAGGAGAAGTTTCGTCGTGACCGGTGTCAGCATCCGAATGATGCGGAAGGGTCCCACGTAGCGGGGACGCAATTTTGCAGGCTGGGGCAGGCGGAGATTCTTCGTGTCTAGGAGAACCATCTGCCCGTCACGGAAGGGTAAGTTCCGTCGATGTCGGTCGGCGTAGCGGCTGGCTGTAGTATTAGCCTTGCGTATGAATTCCGCTGCCTTATCGCGTGCTTGCTGAAGTTCCGAAACAAACTGCTGCGACCGTGGTACCGGATTTTCAGGAGTCGTTGACGAGGGTACCACCGGATCTATCCCGTAATTAAGGTAGAACGGCGATTGATTGGTCGTTGCAGACGGGGCGTTGTTGTACGCAAATTCGAGCATGGGAAGTGTATCTTCCCACTTGGTGATGTCGGGGCAGTTCGTGCGAATCAACTGCTCCATCGTCTGGTTGGTCCTCTCGGTCTGTCCGTCGATTTGCGGGTGGTATGACGACGAAAACTGCAGGCGGGTGCCGTACTGTGCCCAGGTCTCCTGCCAGAACTTCGACGTAAATTTTGGATCCCGATCGCTGATGATCGCCGAAGGTAACCCGTATAGTCGTACGACGGTCGAGATGAAAAGCTTCGCTGTTTCTTCGGCTGTGATCGTCGTGCGGCATGGTGCGAAATGCGCCATTTTCGTTAAGCGGTCGACGACGACCAATACCGAATCATTGCCACTTGTGCCAGCTGGCAGCCCGGTGACATAATCCATTGTCACATGTTGCCACGGTCGTTCGGGTGGCTCGAGGGGTTGCAGCAATCCAGCTGGGCGTTGACGTGATGATTTCATTGCCTGGCAGGTCGGGCAGGCGGACACGTAGTGCTGCACGTCCGACGCCATGTCGGGCCAGTAGTAATTCCGTTGCAGCAGCTTCAACGTTTTGTCGACGCCGAAATGCCCGGAGAGGTTGGAGTCGTGTACCTCCTGCATTAGCAATTCTCGTAAGGGTCGGTAGGAAGGTACCCAAACTCGGTTTGTACCGACTTTTAGGTAATAGCTCCCATGCGCCGTGGTGACCCGTTGGTGTTGGTTGGTCCTAAAAAACCTGTCTGTCTTGTAGCCGTGCTTGAACAATCCTGCCAATAACGGGTTGGAGTGGGCGATTAGTACTGCTGCGGTTTGCATTGATGGGCGGGTCAGGGCGTCGGCGATGTTGTTGGCGCCCTTTTTGTACGTGATGGTGTAGCTGAAGTTGGACTCGAGGTAGTCGAGCCATCGGATTTGTCGCGGGTTGAGCTGTGGTTGGCTGCGCATGTATTGTAATGACTTGTGGTCGGTTCGGATGGTGACGTCAGCTCCCGTGAGGTAACAACGCCAGGTACGAAATGCATGCACGATGGCGAGCATCTCTTTGTCGTGAACCGGATAGTTGCGCTCGGGCGGCTGCATTTTTCTTGACTCGTACGCGATGGGTTGCAGCCCGTTGCCGAAATCCTGTAGCAGCACAGCGCCGACGGCGAAATCGCTGGCGTCCTTCACGACTTCGAACGGTCGAGATGGATCTGCCAGGCGAAGCACCGGGGGTGAACTCAAAATGTTTTTTAACTCGTCGAAGGCCAGCTGCTCTCTCTCCCCCCACAAAAATTGCACGCCCTTATGCAGAAGATCGGTTAACGGCCTGGTCACCCCCGCCATATTCGGTACAAAACGGCGGACGTAGTTAACGAAGCCGAGGAAACTCTGCAATTCCGTGATGTTCGTGGGCGGCTTCCACTCCGAAATCGCTTTTACTTTGCGAGGGTCAATTTTAATGCCCTCCCCTGAAACCACGTGCCCCAGGAACTCCAGCTCCGGCTGTAAGAACTCACACTTAGAGCCCTTAGTAATCAGTCGGTTCTGCTGCAAGCGCCGGAACACTTCCTCTAAATCCTGGAAATGCTGCTCCCGAGTCTTGCTGTACACCAGGATGTCGTCCAGGTAAACGATAACTTTTTTATCCAGCATGTCCCGAAACACCCCATTCATGGTGAGTTGGAAAGTCGAGGGTGCGTTCGTCAACCCAAACGGCATCACAGTATATTCGTAACTGCCGTAGCGGGTGCGGAACGCAGTCTTCGGACAGTCGTCGGCGAACACGCGAATCTGGTGGTAGCCACCTCGCAAATCGATTTTCGAGAAGAAGCGAGCCCCGCGAAGCTGATCCAGCAGGTCGTCCGCTCGTGGGATCGGGTAACGCGACTTGATAGTGACCCGATTCAACGCTCGATAGTCGATGCACATGCGCAGGCCTCCGTCCTTCTTCGGCGTGAACAGTATCGGTGCGGCGTATAGTGACGTGCTCGGCCGGATAAAACCCTTCGAAAGCAGATAATCCAGCTGTTTCTGCAACTCGTCGAGCTCTGGTTGGCTGAGCCGCCACTGTGACCGAACAGTTGGTTTTGCGCCTGGCTCCAGCTCGATCCTGTGGTCTTCTGGTCGCTGAGGTGGCAGCCCGTCAGGCAGGTCATCCGCGAAAATTTCGGGATACCTCCGAATTATGCTCGCCACGTCGTCTGGGACAGCAGCGCAGAGCGTGTCAATGTCGGCGATTTTTTCGGACGCCACTACCTCGTACAGCTGTACGGCGTAGCCCTGCGCTCCCCGCTTGATCGCTCTTTTCATCGTTATCGCGTTGACACGTGTTGTCATCGGTTCCGGCTCCGCCCATTTCGGAAGTGTCACGCGCCCCTTGTTGCACAGCACCGTGATCGCCCCCGTCGTCCAGTCGATCGTCGGATTAAATCGCTGCAGCCAGTCTCGTCCTAGCAGCACATCACAACCGTCCAGTGTTGTCGCCAGCATTCGCATTGAAAACCCGAAATCGTCGCCACACTTCATCCGAATTTGTCGGACCTCGTCCTTGATCGCCAGCGGTGTCCCGTCCACCAGTCGCGCATCAATCTCGGGTAGACACCTGTCCAGCTTGACCCCAATTTTTTTGGCCGTTGCCAGGTTGACGAGACTGTGGCTCGCCCCACCGTCAACGAAAAGTTTTATTTTTTGTCTGTTAACCCTCCCCACGAGCTTCAGGTTTCCCTGTTTCAGCTTCGGGCAGTCCTTCCTCCAGTGGCCCGGTTGGTTGCAGTTGAAGCACGTGTTAGGTCCACGTCTCGGTGCATCCACCCCGTTGATTGTGGGCTGGCGCGGCGGTCCACGAAATTGAGTGACCTCCCGGGAACTCATTCTCGCCCATTGCATCAGCGCATCCGTAGATTCAGCCACCTGGACAGCATCGAGGAAATCGCGTGGTCTCGCCCGTCGCACCTCGTACTGTACTTCGTACTTGAGGCCTGCGACGTATCGGTCGAGTCGCTCCGCATCACTCATGTCGTCCACCTGGTCAGCCAAATTGCAGAATGTTGCCGTGTAATCTTGGACCGACGCCACCTGCTTCCAGGTGCGCAGCTTCATGCGAGCAGAATCCGAGGCGGATACATGCTCGAATCTGTTTCGCAGCGCGGCGCCCCACTCCGTCCATGTGCGTATCGTGGCCACTCCGAAGATTGAAGTTGCCTGTTGCGTGACAGTTGTCCAGGTTCCGTCGTTCGCACGTGTCATCCCTGCCGGAGTCCCCTCTGTCTGAAGAGTCCGCTTCCACCATTCTAACGCCGGTCCTCGTAACAGTGACACTGCAAAATTAATGCGAGTAGCATCGTCAGCAATTTGCGCAGCATTGAAAAACACCTCCACACCGAACAGCCATGCCGACACAGTGACGGTTTTGTCGCTGGGGTTGAACGGGGGCGGGTTTGTCGGCTTTATTTTAACAGTTGTTGAGACTGTTGCTGCTGCATGCATCGGGGGCGCCACCGAGGCCATCACCGGGTTCGTCGCTGGTGCCTGTCGTGGCGTTGTCTGCGACTGTTGCCCAGATGCCACTTGTGCTTGTTGCTGCGGCTGTGGCCGTTGTTCTTGCGTCCCTCGTGCTTGTTGCTGGCGTGCCGCCCACTCATCTGCAGCGTCCAGCGAGCCCTGTAGCTCACTAAGGACGTCGTCGTTGGGTGTGGAGCTGCTACTTGCTTCATCCACGGCGGGCGACTCCTGACGCGCTTCACCTCGCGTCTGGCGTAGCTCGGCGTTTTCCACCTTCAGGCGCTCCATCTCTGCAGACATGGTCTGCAAGTTGGCTTGCATCGCCCGAAACTGTTGCATGAACTCGTTGAACTCCGCCTGTTCCATGTTTCGCAGGCTTCTCTTAACGGGCAGCGGGTTAACAGCGATTTTTATGGTTTTGATGAAGGCGCAAACGCTATTAGTCGGAGCGAGATAATCGTATCTATCTCTCAGCCGACCGCTTTGCAGCCCACCAAACCTATCGCACCCCTGCACTAAAACTACCCCGGAAAGTGGAGGGTAACCTAGGAAAGTAGCTCTGATACCAAATGTTATGAGTTGTATGAAAGAAGAGTGCGCAATATTCAATAACGCGGAAGTGATTACAACTGCTGAGCAAACAACGAGGCCTAGGCATAATATAGCGAGGCTAGCTAGGCCGAGGTCGCGGAGTCGCGCGAAGGTCGGGTGTAGGTTTGGGGTTGGGAAACCCGAAGGCGACGCGGAGGACGTTAGGAAGGCGAGGTCATCGGACCGAGCCTGAACTCCGAAAAGTTGGACTTGTACGCGTACGGAGTGCCTCAGTAAGGAATTAGGAAAATTCCTTACAATGACAACCGTTTGGTAATCCGTGTAACAGTTAAAAAACAAATCATCATCCTACTGAACCCTACAGTGGATTCATATGAAGCCTCCGCGCGCTTTTCCGAGCTTTTAGCGCCCTCTCTTGGGCCTGCCCGAGTATCTCTGGGATGCTCGCCGGGCTGCCCGAACTTCTGGTATACTTCCAAACCAAAGGCCCCCCTTCGCTCGCGATAATGGCTACCGACGACCCAAGACCAAGGCCCAGGGAATACGTTGGATGTTTGCTTCTTCGCTCACTTTATCTGCCATTTGCCTGTCTTTTCATTTCCATCAATGCCGTTAGATTATGCCACCTGAGATTCCTTACTTTCAGGCATCGTCTCTAGCTTCTATCTCACTTTCTATTATCGTGGTGCGAGCATGGCGCTTCGATCCGTTCCTTTCACCGCCAAAAAGGTTGCGGCTTCAGACATGGGCTTTCTAGCCTCCCATTCTCTCTCTTGGGCCGCCGATGGTTGCGGCGGGGCCACCGCAAATGCTCAGTTCAATAATTGCCGCAGTGCAGCGGGCGCAGCTCGTGCTGATCCTTCGATCATTTGCACAGCGCAGCAGAAGAATGTGCGTTGCAACTTTGCACTGCCGTTTGCTTCTTCCCTGTTTTTCGGTTTTTTGTGATTGTGTTTTTTTTTGTTTTTTCGGAACATAGACGCGTGAACTCCTTACATGTCGGTTTGATTTTTTTCGTTCTTACCCATTTCGCAGGTTCCGTCGCAAGCTCGCACCGCACTTCCACATCGCACTTCCACCGGTCCATCCCCGCGGGAACGAGTATCGAAACTTCACGGGAAAACGACAAAAACAGATAGCGTATCAGTGTCGATGCGCCTTCACCAGGTAGCACCGGGCGAGACCCTCTTCTCCATCGCCGCCAGTTACCAACTCCCCCTGGACGCGCTCCTCGCGGTAAACGACAAGCCGTCGCCCGCGGTGCGAGTGGGGGAGGTGATATTCCTGCCGGCCGCGGCGAAAATCGGCGACGTGGCGAGTTTCGCGAGTGGTCTAAGAGTTACCGCGAAAAGCGGTGACTCGGCAGGGTGGAATGGAACGGAGGGAGGAGGTGGTAACGCGGCTGGAGAGGGGGTAGAGACAGGGGATGTCGATAACCGGTCGCAGCAGCAGCAGCGTGTAAGTCAAACGATTCAACCAAGCCAGCCTGGCCGTCAACGTCTGAGTCAACCTAGCCAACCCAGTAATCAGCATCTTAGTCAAGAAGACGCGGAAATCAAGGTATCGCAGGACTTTGCCCTGAAGTTTAGAGAGAAACCTGGGGGAAATTACCCCGGGAAATACTCGGCGGGTCCGAAGGCCGGGCAGCAGCGATACGGGTCTGGAGCGCAGGAGGGCGGGAAGTCGAGAGGCGGAGGCGGAAAGGATAAGGGGCGGAAAGAAAGCAGGGAGAGTAGTGGCAGAGCCAGCAAAGAGAGTCTGAGAAGCGATGGCTTTGGGAAGGGAGAGGAGGCGAGAAGAGGAGGGGCGGTTGCTGGTGGGGGCTTGCAGCGAATAGAGGTGTGCGAGGAGAGGGAGATGACTTCTGCTTTTGCTAGCGTGGGTGCTCCCAAGGTGAGGAGGATGTTTCCTGGAACTGGGCTAGCATGCTGGCTTGAACGCGTGTTGTCTCCATGCCACCTATTGCGTGTCTGCTCCTCCGTGCCTCACATTCCCAACACGGTTCTTACTCTCCTCTTATCCTCTCTATCCCTCTCTACTCCTCCCAATCCCTCTGTTGCCTCCTGTGCCGCTCGACAGATCCCGTACCTTGACTGCACGCCTGCTGCCGCTGCTCCTTCACGCCTCGCTGCATCTGCATTCAGGCAGCAACCGCAGCAGCTGCAGCTGCGGCGGCAGCAGCCACAGCAGTTGCAGATGCAACAACCAGGAAAGAAGCACGGGCAGCAGCTGAGGATAGCAGGTGGGCAAGTGGGAGGGGAGTCACTGGGAAACCGACACAGGAGCACCTTTTTGGGCGGCTCTGCCCGACAGTTTACAGCCACGGTCGGGCAGCAACAGCTCCTGCTGCCCGAGGGGAAACTTTTTGTTGGGGCGCAGCACGGTGGGAGGTGGGCGGTGGTTCTTGGCGTGGCTGTGGCCGTTGCTGCTGGAGGGGCGGCACTGGGCGGCAGGGTTGGAGCATTAGGGGGAGCATTAGGGGGAGCAGCAGGGGGAGCAGTAGGGCGAGCATTAGGGGGGGCAGCAGGCGCAACCAGCAGTGTACAGGGAGGGATAGGGGGAGGGGTTGGGGGATTGTTTGCTGGTGGGGGGCATGATGCGAGCAAGGCGAGTAAGCAGGAAGGAGGTTCGAACAAGGACCTTGATTTCTCCAAGAGGGTTTTGAGGAATTATTTAAGCTCCAAGGCGGCTGCTACAGATGGCATGGCTGTAGCGGTAGCAGACTCACCAAGGAGCAGCAGCGACACCAGCAGTGACACCAGCAGCGACAGCAGCAATTATTTACTCAACAGCAGCGGCAGCATTGAGGCAAGCGGACCCACAGAAACGTTGGCACGGAGCCACGGACCTATTGCTGAAGCGCCCGAGAGTACAGGCTCTGCTGCAGCGTCTGATGCTGGTGCTGCTGCTGCTGCTCTTGCAGGAGCTGAGGGCGTGGGGGTTAACCTTACTGAGCTCAAGACAGACGAGAATCAGATGAGTATGGAGAATTGGGAAGATAGGTGTGTGCCGGATCAAGGCAAAGCGCCGCTGTGGGTGGGAGAGGAGGCATGGAGCAGTGAGATGACACAGAGCAGGAAGGAAGCGGGGAGTAACGAAGAGGCGAGCAGAGAGGAAGGGGGGAGTCAAGGAGAGGAGAGCAGGGAGGAGGGGAGCAGAGGGGAGGGAAGTAAAGACGATGGGAACAGCGAGGAGGGGAGCAGGGGGGAAGGAAGGAGCAGAGCGGGAGAGAGGGGGAGAGAGGAGGGGATCAGAGAGGAGGATGGGAACAGGGAGGAGGGGTTAAGAGAGGAGGGGATTAGAGAGGAGGGGAGTATGGGAGAAGGGATTGGCAGGGTGGAGGTATGTGCGGAGGGGTTGCCATTGGAGGAGGTGCGGAACTGGAGTGTGGAGGAGGCGATAGCAGCCAATGTGCAGGTGGCACGGAAGATGGGGCTGCAGCAGGCTTGAGACGCCTGAGGTGACTTTTGAGTTGATACATAGGGTCTGGGGAGAGGTTGTCAATCTGCCATTGGAGGAGGTGCGGAACTGGAGTGTGGAGGAGGTGTGCGATTGCAGCCAACGCACAGGTGGCACGGAAGATGGGGCTTCAGCAGGCTTGAGAGGCCTGAGAGGAGGCATCTCTTGAGTTGACTTGCAGGGCGTCTGAGGAGAGGTTGCCTTTGGAGGAAGTTCAGAACTGGAGTGTGGAGGAGGCGATTGCAGCCAATGCACAGGGGGCACGGAAGATGGGGCTGCAGCAGGGCTGATAAGGCGACTCTTGTAACTGCTTGTGGTGCCTCAATGGATGTCTGTCCGAGGAGGGTTTGGTCCAAGGAGTGCAGACGTGGAGTGTGGAGGAGGCGATAGCAGCCAACGTGCAGGTTGCACGGAAGATGGGGCTGCAGCAGGCCTGATGAGGTGACTCTGACGTCTGTGTGGAGCCGGTTGTTGCAGGGAGGGGTTGCGACTGGAGGAAGTGCAGACGTGGAGTGTGGAGGAGGCGATAGCAGCCAACGCACAGGTGGCACGGAAGATGGGGCTGCAGCAGGGCTGATAAGGCGACTCTTGTAACTGCTTGTGGTGCCTCAATGAATGTCTGTCCGAGGAGGGTTTGGTACAAGGAGTGCAGACGTGGAGTGTGGAGGAGGCGATAGCAGCCAACGTGCAGGTGGCATGGAAGATGGGGCTGCAGCAGGGCTGATAAGGCGACTCTTGTAACTGCTTGTGGTGCCTCAATGGATGTCTGTCCGAGGAGGGTTTGGTACAAGGAGTGCAGACGTGGAGTGTGGAGGAGGCGATAGCAGCCAACGTGCAGGTGGCACGGAAGATAGGGCTGCAGCAGGCTTGAGGCATGAGAAGAAGGCGACTCTTGAGTTGGCTTTAAGGGCAGAGCGATGAGGGGCTGCAGCAGGCCTGAGGCATGAGAGAAGGTGACTTTTGAGTTGGCTTTAAGGGCACGGCGAGGCGGGGTTGCCTTTGGAGGAGGTGCAGAACTGGAGTGTGGAGGAGGCAATAGCAGCCAATGCGCAGGGGCCACGGAAGATGGGGCTGCAGCAGGCCTGATTGATGAGTGTGGGAGTACTGTACATTACATGAATCAACGTTATTTATAGTTGACTTCATTTCTCATTTCAAGTTGGTTGCCTGATATATCCACTTGAGATATAGGTACCTCCATACATTACAAGAAAACTACTGTACATTGTTTTTTTTATGTTTGTATGCACAAGTCTAATTACTATTTTGTTGAATGTGAAGATGAGTCCAAGTGCTCATCCTCAGACTCGCTATCCCTACTCTCACCATCACTATCAATATCACTGTCACGGTACAAATACCCCTTATTTTCCCGCACTAGTTCCCCCCACGGGCACACCACCACAGCCATCACCAGCAAAAGCCCCTGTGCAATCACCCCAGCCAGAGGATTACCCTTATGCACGCCTGTGAGCCACACAGGGGCTCCCGGGCGGTAAGATATGATTCCGGAGAAAGATATGATTTGATTTGCGGCGACGAGGCTGGTGTGGAGGCCAATGGGGAGGGAGAGGCTGGTGCTGCAGCGATGGCGGAGGGAGGAGAGGACGAGGGAGAGGAGGAAGAGTCCTGGCATGGCTGGGATAGACCTGCAATAGGGGGGGAGAGGGAGGGGAAGGGTGTGTATGAGAGACAGGAGGCCGATGGGGAGGGAGAGGCTGGTGCTGCAGCGATGGCGGAGGAAGGAGAGGACGAGGGAGAGGAGGAAGAGACCGGACATGGCTGGGATAGACCTGGAAAGGAGGGGAGGTTGGGGGAGGGAGAAGAGGAGGGGGAGGGGGGAGTGTAGGGAGGCAGGAGGGAGGTGGAAGAGGTGGGACATGTGCTGTAGCAGGGAGGGGAAATGATGTGTATGGAAGACAGGAGAGAGGTGGGATGGGTGCGAGTGGTGCTGCAGCAGTGGGAATGAGGTGACTTTTGAGTCGACTCAAAAGCCACCTGCAGCAGTGGAAGTGGCTGGGACGAGCCCTGATTCATCTCAGCCCATTGTTGCATGTCACATCTTTTGAGAACTCACAAAAGTGACTCAGCCCATTGGCGCACGGGCACATGCTTCTAGACTCACTCACCAGTGCACGAGAGCAAACACAAGTGCAGTGACTCCCGAAGCAAACGCCAAGCCCCGATCCTGCCGAACCTCTTCAAACAGCCAGCCTCGGAAGACCAGTTCTTCCACCACTGCTACAGCCGTACCCATTAGTAGCGACTCCAGTACAAGCAGCAGAACGCGAGTGGTGGATACGAGAAGAGAGAGAACGGCAGAGAGGAGGGATGGGAGGAGGGAGGGGAGGAGGGAGAGGAGGGTAGGTGTGATGACCGTGGGGGTGGCAGCTGCAGCAGTCGCAGCAGCAGCAGCAGCAGCGGCAGCACCGGAAGAAGCGAGGATTGGGGCTTGTAAGGGTTGGGTAATTGAGAGGGGTGAGAGAGGAGGGAAATGTAGGGGCAGCCATTGCGGCAGGGAGGAGGTGGCTTGGTGCAGGAGAAGCTGAAGGGAGTCGAAGGCAGAGGAAAGGTGTGAGGAGACGAGGGCGAGAGTTCGGAGATGGAAGGCTGGCAGGTGAAGAGATGGGAGGTGGAAATTTGGGATGTCAAATGGGAGGTTGAGGGAGGTGAGGCGCAGATGGAGCTGAATGGCGTGCAGCAGCAGCAGCAGGGATGTGCCTAGCAGTAGACCCTGAGCCAACCATGCCAGCTGGTGGTGATGGGGGTATAGGGAGGGAAGGATGGGGATGTGGGGGAATGCAGATGCAGTTGTATGGCGTGTAGCAGCAGCAGCAGGGATGAGCCCAGCAGTAGACCCTGTGCCAACCATCCAAGCTGGTAGTGATTGGGGTAGAGAGGGACAAAGAGGAGGGATGGGGGAGAGGGGAAAGGTGCAGCATGCGTGAGTGAGGGAGGTTGAGGGAGGTGAGGCGCAGATGGAGCTGTATGGCGTGCAGCAGTAGCAGCAGCGATGAGCCTAACAGTAGACCCTGTGCCAACCATGCCAGCTGGTTGTGATGGGAGTAGAGGGGAAAGGATGGGGAAGAGGGGGAATGCAGATGCAGTTGAATGGCGTGTAGTAATAGCAGCAGCAGGGATGACCCCAGCAGCAGACCCTGTGCCAACCATGCCACCTGATGGTGTGAAGGGTAGAGGGAGGAAAAGAGGGGGAAGAGGGGATGGAGCTGAATGGCGTGTAGTAATAGCAGCAGCAGGGATGACCCCAGCAGCAGACCCTGTGCCAACCACGCGAACTGGCGGCGTGAGGGAAGAAATGGGGGGAAGGGGAGACGGGACGGGTGCAGCAAGCATGAGTGACAGCCTAACAGCCTAACAGAATAACAACATAACAGCTTGCCCAACTCACCTCCTGTGTTGACTCAAACACTCGCAACCCATACTGCTCAATGGGGTGCTAAAATCTCCTCACCCTCCTGCCCCAGATGCGAACGAGCAGCAGCAGGGCTATGGACAGCCTAGCAGCCTAGCAGCATAACAACATAACAACATAACAGGCCAACTCACCTCTTGTGTTGACTCGAACACTCGCAACCCATACTGCTCAATCGGGTGCTCGAATCTCCTCACCCTCCTGCCCCAGATGCGCACTAGCAGCAGCAGGGCTATGCACAGACCCACAGCCAAGAGTGCTGTGGTGACAGCTTGCACGACTCACCTCCTGTGTTGACTCAAACAGTCTCAACCCGTACTGCTCAATCGGGTGCTCAAATCTCCTCACCCTCCTGCCCCAGATGCGCACTAGCAGCAGCAGGGCTATGCACAGACCCACAGCCGAGTGCTGTGGTGACAGCTTGCACGACTCACCTCCTGTGTTGACTCGAACAGTCTCAACCCGTACTGCTCAATCGGGTGCTCAAATCTCCTCACCCTCCTGCCCCAGATGCGCACTAGCAGCAGCAGGGCTATGCACAGACCCACAGCCAAGAGTGCTGTGGTGACAGCTTGCACGACTCACCTCCTGTGTTGACTCGAACAGTCTCAACCCGTACTGCTCAATCGGGTGCTCAAATCTCCTCACCCTCCTGCCCCAGATGCGCACTAGCAGCAGCAGGGCTATGCACAGACCCACAGCCAAGAGTGCTGTGGTGACAGCTTGCACGACTCACCTCCTGTGTTGACTCGAACAGTCTCAACCCGTACTGCTCAATCGGGTGCTCAAATCTCCTCACCCTCCTGCCCCAGATGCGCACTAGCAGCAGCAGGGCTATGCACAGACCCACAGCCAAGAGTGCTGTGGTGACAGCTTGCACGACTCACCTCCTGTGTTGACTCGAACAGTCTCAACCCGTACTGCTCAATCGGGTGCTCAAATCTCCTCACCCTCCTGCCCCAGATGCGCACTAGCAGCAGCAGGGCTATGCACAGACCCACAGCCAAGAGTGCTGTGGTGACAGCTTGCACGACTCACCTCCTGTGTTGACTCGAACAGTCTCAACCCGTACTGCTCAATCGGGTGCTCAAATCTCCTCACCCTCCTGCCCCAGATGCGCACTAGCAGCAGCAGGGCTATGCACAGACCCACAGCCAAGAGTGCTGTGGTGACAGCTTGCACGACTCACCTCCTGTGTTGACTCGAACAGTCTCAACCCGTACTGCTCAATCGGGTGCTCAAATCTCCTCACCCTCCTGCCCCAGATGCGCACTAGCAGCAGCAGGGCCATGCACAGACCCACAGCCAAGAGTGCTGTGGTGACAGCTTGCACGACTCACCTCCTGTGTTGACTCGAACAGTCTCAACCCGTACTGCTCAATCGGGTGCTCAAATCTCCTCACCCTCCTGCCCCAGATGCGCACTAGCAGCAGCAGGGCTATGCACAGACCCACAGCCAAGAGTGCTGTGGTGACAGCTTGCACGACTCACCTCCTGTGTTGACTCGAACAGTCTCAACCCGTACTGCTCAATCGGGTGCTCAAATCTCCTCACCCTCCTGCCCCAGATGCGCACTAGCAGCAGCAGGGCTATGCACAGACCCACAGCCAAGAGTGCTGTGGTGACAGCTTGCACGACTCACCTCCTGTGTTGATTCGAACAGTCTCAACCCGTACTGCTCGATTGGGTGCTCGAATCTCCTCACCCTCCTGCCCCAGATGCGCACCAGCAGCAGCAGGGCTATGTACAGACCCACGGCCAGCAGCAGCCTAACAGCACAACAACACCACAGCACAACAACTTAACAACTTGCCCAACTCACCTCTTGCATTGACTCAAAGAGCCTCAGCCCATACTGCTCGATTGGGTGCTCGAATCTCCTCACCCTCCTGCCCCAGATGCGCACCAGCAGCAGCAGGGCTATGTACAGACCCACAGCTAGCAGGGCTGTGGTGACGACAGGTGGCGCCGCGGGATAGGTTGATGCGGAGGTGAGTGTGGTGATGAGGGAGGGGAGGAGGGGGATGAGGATGGGCGACCAGAGAAGGATGAGGAGGAGGAGCGAGAAGAGGAGCCTGGGGGGTGGGAGCAAGGGGGGTGGGTGGGAAAGAGAACGAGAGTGAGGGTGATGAGTGTAGTGATGACTCATGAGTGTGGTGTAATGATGAGAGAGGGAAAGGAGAGGGCATGGAACAGAAGGAAGTTGAGCATCCACCTGGTTGTGAGTGCGCGCCTGTGAATGTCTGTGAGTGCAATGAGCTGCTCGCACGGCCCCACCGCGTCATACAGACCCATTGGGTGCGATAAGTGCATTGCCATCAAGATGCATTGTGCATGTGCATAGGCACACCTGGTGGTGAGCGCCCGCTTGTGAATGTCGGTGAGTGCAATGAGCTGCTCGCACAGCCCCACAGCGCCGTACAGCCCCTCTGGTGCGGTAAGTGCACCGCAGCAAGGATGGAATGTGCACGCACCTGGTAGTGCGCACCCACCTGGTCGTGAGCGCCCGCTTGTGGATGTCAGTGAGTGCAATGAGCTGCTCGCACAGCCCCACAGCGCCGTACACCCCCTCTGCAAAGAGAGCCGCCTTCCCCACCACCCTCAGCATGCGCCCCTGCGACCCCCACTGCTGTATCATCTCCGATAACCTGGTTGGTGGAGTGGTGGTGGGGACAGAGGGAGGGCGAAAGGTTGACTCACTATGCGACTCTCAGCATGCACCACTGCGGCCCCCACTGCTGTATCACCTCGAATAACTTGTGGGAGGGTTGGGAAGGGTGTTATTCGACTTGCCTTGTTGATTTGACCCACCTCTTCAGCTCGACCCACCTCTTCAGCTCGACCCACCTCTTCTGCTCGACCCACCTCTTCAGCTCGACCCACCTCTTCAGCTCGACCCACCTCTTCTGCTCGACCCACCTCTTCAGCTCGACCCACCTCTTCAAGTAAATCTATCCGTCCTGCTTCGCAGAGGGGACACCATTTGTACCACACTCGTGAGATTTCTTTTGAGGCGCCTCAAAAGTATCACACTCGTGAGATTTCACCATTTTTCATACGCCTATAATTTTGTAATGCACCAATTTGAATCACCTCTTCAGGTCCACCTGTCCGTCCTGCTTCCTGGGAAGCACAGGGGACGCCACTTCAATCGCCCTCTCTGCCATCTCCATCAGAGCCTCTCCTGCACCCTCTGCTTCACCTTTTACTCCTCCCTCTCCACTTCCCTCTGCTCCTCCTCCTCCTCCTCCTCCCCCTGCTTCTCGCTTTGGTTGCTGTTCCTCTGCTGCTTCCCCTGATGTTCCACCAGCAGCAGCCTCTGCAGCAGTCCCACCAGATCCGCCTGTACCATTCATTGCCAGGGCTGTAGCAGTCATGGCTGTGGTCCCCGTGCCTGTAGCACTCATTGCCAGGGCTGGAGTCCCTGTGCTTGTGGCATTCATTGCGAGGGCTGTAGCAGCCATGGCTGTAGCAGATCCCACCATCTTACCCACGGGAGAGCCTGCTGAGTAGGACCACCCATCCTCCTCTCTTTCCTCCTCCCTTTCCTCCTCCCTTTCCTCCTCCTTTTGCTCGCCTGTTTTTTCTCTACTCTGAGCCTCGTGCTTTGAGGGCTTCTGGTCCCATCCCCTTCCCTCCGCCTCATGCCATACCTCCCTCTCCTCATCCCTTGCTCTGTCCTTCACTTCCCCTGTCTTTTTCCTGTCTCCCTTCTCGTTACCTTCCTCCTCCTTCTGTTCCCTCTTCTCGTCCTCCTCCCTCAACTCTTCCTCCTTCCTCTCTTCCTCCTCCTCCTCGCGTTTTTCCTTCTCCTGTTTTAGCTCCGCCAAAATCCCACCCACAGCATCGAACACACTCGCAACAGCCACCTGTGAGCTGTCATCTACCCCAGATAGCGCCTGCACTGCTACAGACAAATTCAGCCCACCGAGAGATAAAGGAGCGGAAGACGCAGGTGGGGGGGGTTGAGAGGTGGAAGGATCGGGGGAAGGAGGGGAGGGGGGAGGAATGGAGGGGGAAGGAGGGGAGGGGGGAGGAAGGGAGGGGGGGGGAGTGGAGGGGAGAGGAAGGGAGGAGGAAGGAGGGGAGGGGGAAGGAGCAGGGGAAGGCGGAGACGGAGTTGCAAGGGGGGAGTTGGGGAGAGTAGGAGAGGGAGAGGGGGAGGCAACTGAAGGCGGATGAGGGGGAGGGGAGCTGGAGGCGGGGTTAGTGGGGGGAGGGGAAGTGGGGGAAAGGGGGGTGGGGGAAGGGGAATTGGGGGAAGGGGGAGTGGGAGAAGGAGGGTTGGGGGAAGGGGAAATGGGGGAAGGGGGAGTTGGGGTTGGGGAAGTGGCTAGAGAGGAAGTGGGGGGAACGGAAGCAGGCGTTGAGAGGCTAGGGGGAGCAGAACTGGGGGAAGGGGAAGCGAGGGGAGGGGGACTGGGGGGAGGGGACGTGGGGAAAGGGGGAGGGGCACTGCTGACAGCGGATATCACTCTGGGAGGAGGGGGGATGGACGATGGGGGAGGGGGAGATGGATGGGCGGGTGGAACAGAAGATGGGGAAGGGGAGATGGCAGGGGGAGGGGAGGCGACAAGGGGAGGGGAGGCGGCAGGGGGAGAGGGGGTGGCAGGGGGAGGGGATGCGGCAGGGGGAGGTGAGGCAGCAGGGGGAGGTGAGGCAGCAGGGGGAGGGGAGGCAGCAGGGGGAGGTGAGGCAGCAGGGGGACGTGAGGCAGGAGGGGGAGGTGAGGTGACAGGGGCAGGTGAGGAGGCAGGGGGTGGGGGGCCGGCTGGGGAGACTGGAGGAGAGACTTGGGAAGGAGGGGGGCTAGGAGGGGTGGGGGGGAGGAGAGGAGAGGTCTGTGAGGATGCGCCAGGAGGATGGGAGGAGACGGATGGAGCAATGCTGCTGCTCGTTCTGCTGGGGTTGCCGCTGCTGCTGCTGCTGTCTCTGCCGCTGCTCCCTCTATTGCTCCCTCTATTGCTCTTCTTCTTGCCATTACGAGTACCAGCAGCAGCAGCAGCAGCAGCAGAGGAGCCCGGATAGTCAGGTGGTTCGCCCCACAACTCGTCAAGCACCTCACCCTGCTCCTTCTCTTCCTGTTGCTGCTCCTCCTCTTCCTGTTGCTGCTCCTCCTCTTGCTGTTGCTGCTCCTCCTCCTCTGACTGTTGCTGCATTTTCTCCTGCTCTTGCCGCTGCCCCTTCTCACGCTCCTCCTGCTCCTCCTCCTGCTGCTGCTGCTGCTGCTCCTGCCCACTCCGCTCCACGGCAGGTATCGGAATTTGAGGCGCCTCTTTTTTAGGCGCCTCTTTCTGAGGCGCCTCAAGAATCTCACGTGTCTGGGGAAGCAGGGAAGCCGCGTGCTTGAGAGTGCTTTCCACTGCAGCTGAGTGGTGGGCGGCCTCGAGGCACTGCCTGAGAGTGGTGGCCACTGCTGCGTGCTGCTCTGGCGGCACCACCTGCTGCACCGCGTCTGCTACGCCCTGCCCCCTCGTTATTGCCGCTAGGAGCTGGGAGGGGAACGCACAGTGAAGCAGGGAAGGGCGGGGGGAAGGGAAGGGAAGGGAAGGGAAGGGAAGGGAAGGGAAATGAAGCAGGGAAGCCGCGTGCTTGAGAGTGCTTTCCAGTGCTGCTGAGCGTTGGGCGGCCTCTGCGCACTGCCTGAGAGTGGTGGCCACTGCTGCGTGCTGCTCTGGCGGCACCACCTGCTGCACTGCGTCGGCTATATTCTGCCCCCTCGTTATGGCTGCTAGGAGCTGGGAGGAGAACACACAGTGAAGCAGGGAAGTGCGGGGGGGAAGGGAAGGGAAGGAAAATGAAATGAAGCAGAGAAGCCGCGTGCTTGAGAGTGCTTTCCAGTGCAGCTGAGTGGTGGGCGGCCTCTACGCAGTGACTGAGAGTGGCGGCCACTGCTGCGTGCTGCTCTGGCGGCACCACCTGCTGCACTGCGTCTGCTATGCCCTGCCCCCTCGTTATGGCTGCTAGGATCTGGGAGGGAGAGGACGGGACAGGGAAGGGCGGGGAGCAAGGCAAGGCAAGGGAAGGGAAGTTAAAGGAAACGGAACAGAGAAGCCGCGTGCTTGAGAGTTTTGTCCACTGCAGCTGAGTGGTGGGCGGCCTCTACGCAGTGCCTGAGAGTGGCGGCCACTGCTGCGTGCTGCTCTGGCGGCACCACCTGCTGCACCGCGTCGGCTATGCCCTGCCCCCTCGTTATGGCTGCTAGGAGCTGGGAGGAGAACACACAGTGAAGCAGGGAAGGGCGGGGGGGAAGGGAAGGGAAGGGAAGGGAAGGGAAGGGAAGGGAAATGAAGCAGGGAAGCTGCCTGCTTGAGAGTGCTTTCCAGTGCAGCTGAGCGTTGGGCGGCCTCTGCGCACTGACTGAGAGTGGTGGCCACTGCTGCGTGCTGCTCTGGCGGCACCACCTGCTGCACTGCCTCTGCTACGCTCTGCCCCCTCGTTATGGCTGCTAGGAGCTGGGAGGGAAAACGGGAAGAGGAGAGGGGACCGAAAAGACAGGGACAGAGGAAGGGAAAGCCAGGGGAAGGGAGAGAGAAAGAGCCATGAAGGACAGGTGAAGGGAAAGAGCGACCAGCAACCCAGCTTGGGTGGCAACACTTGCTGCCTCACACAGGCACACACTCACACACACACTCTCACTCACGCACCCTCACTCATGCACAGACACACACACACACCCTCACTCACACACAGACACAAAGAAGAACACACAAACACTCACACACACCCACCCACACACACACAAACACACACACACGCACGCACTCACACATTCACAGTCATGCACGCACCTGCGTCCTCTCCCCTGCGCTCACAGCACCAGGCATGGCAGCATCCACGAGGTTCAGAGCCACCTCCGCCCACTGAGCCACTGACGGTGCCGCTGCTGGTGGTGGTGGGGCGGGGGAGAGGGGGGAGCTGCTCCCACTGCTCCTGCTACGCAAACACACACACACTCCCACGTGCACATACACCCACAGACCCAGACACACTCACGCATTCACTCACTCACTCACCTGCGTCCTCTCCCCTGCGCTCACAGCACCAGGCATGGCAGCATCCACGAGGTTCAGAGCCACCTCCGCCCACTGAGCCACCGACGGTGCCGCTGCTGGTGGTGGTGGGGCGGGGGAGAGGGGGGAGCTGCTCCCACTGCTCCTGCTACGCAAACACACACACACTCCCACGTGCACATACACCCACAGACCCAGACATACTCACGCATTCACTCACTCACTCACCTGCGTCCTCTCCCCTGCGCTCACAGCACCAGGCATGGCAGCATCCACGAGGTTCAGAGCCACCTCCGCCCACTGAGCCACCGACGGTGCTGCTGCTGGTGGTGGTGGGGCGGGGGAGAGGGGGGAGCTGCTCCCACTGCTCCTGCTACGCAAACACACACACACTCCCACGTGCACATACACCCACAGACCCAGACACACTCACGCATTCACTCACTCACTCACCTGCGTCCTCTCCCCTGCACTCACAGCACCAGGCATGGCAGCATCCACGAGGTTCAGAGCCACCTCCGCCCACTGAGCCACCGACGGTGCCGCTGCTGGTGGTGGTGGGGCGGGGGAGAGGGGGGAGCTGCTCCCACTGCTCCTGCTACGCAAACACACACACACTCCCACGTGCACATACACCCACAGACCCAGACACACTCACGCATTCACTCACTCACTCACCTGCGTCCTCTCCCCTGCGCTCACAGCACCAGGCATGGCAGCATCCACGAGGTTCAGAGCCACCTCCGCCCACTGAGCCACCGACGGTGCCGCTGCTGGTGGTGGTGGGGCGGGGGAGAGGGGGGAGCTGCTCCCACTGCTCCTGCTACGCAAACACACACACACTCCCACGTGCACATACACCCACAGACCCAGACACACTCACGCATTCACTCACTCACTCACCTGCGTCCTCTCCCCTGCGCTCACAGCACCAGGCATGGCAGCATCCACGAGGTTCAGAGCCACCTCCGCCCACTGAGCCACCGACGGTGCCGCTGCTGGTGGTGGTGGGGTGGGGGAGAGGGGGGAGCTGCTCCCACTGCTCCTGCTACGCAAACACACACACACTCCCACGTGCACATACACCCACAGACCCAGACACACTCACGCATTCACTCACTCACTCACCTGCGTCCTCTCCCCTGCGCTCACAGCACCAGGCATGGCAGCATCCACGAGGTTCAGAGCCACCTCCGCCCACTGAGCCACCGACGGTGCCGCTGCTGGTGGTGCTGCTGCTGCTGGTGGTGCTGCTGCTGCTGTGCAGACACACACACACACCCACACACTCACCCACGCATACACACTCGCGCACTCACTCACTCATGCTTAAACACGCACCTGCGCCCTCTCCTTTGAGCCCACAGCACCAGGCATGGCTGCATCCACGAGGTTCAGAGCAACCTCTGCCCACTGAGACACCGACGGTGCTGCTGCCACCACTGCTGCTGCTGCTGCGTCGGCCTCTGCGTTTGTTTCATCTGCTGCTCCTGTTGCTGCTGCTGCTGCCAGTTCTGCTGCTACTGCTGCCGCTCCTTCCTCTGCTGCTGTCTCTACTCCAGCCCTTACTTTTGCGGCTCCTGTCTCTCCTGTACCTGCAACCGCTCCTGCCTCTGCTGCTTTATTAGTCGCTGCTGCTGAGCTTCCTGAAGCTGCAGGTGCTGCTGTCTCTCTTCTAGCTGCTGCTGCTGCTTCTGCTGAAACATCCGCTGAAACATCTACAGCCACTGGAGCCACTGCTGCTGCTGCAGGTAACTGTGCCGCAGCTCCCCGCATCACACCCCCCGGGTTCACAGAACCCTTGTGCGGCTCTGCTGGTGATGGCAGAGAAACACCTGATGCCTCATAACCTGAAGGAGCGCCTGAAGGAGCACCTGAAGGAGCACCTGAAGAGGCAACTGAAGCAGCACTGACAGCACCAGTCGCAGGTGTTGAGTCAGGTTGGCTAAGTGAGCTGAGAGGTTGGACAGTGGGAGCAGCACCTTCAACAGTCGGAGGGGAAGGTTGGACAGTGGGAGCAGCAGGGTTGGCAGGTTGCGGGGCAAGTTGCAGGGCAGGCTGAGGGGCAGGTTGCGGGGCAGGCTGAGGAGCAGGTTGAGAAGGTGAACTGCCAGGTGGAAATGGTGGTGATGTGGGTGGAGCAGGAGATTCAAGTGCATTGCCGTCAAGACCCTCCAGTGCATGCCCACTCATCTCTTCCTCACCCCCTCCCTCACTCCCGCCCCCTGTAGTGTTCCTCTCTCCTTCACCTGCACTCCTCTCTCCCTCTCCCTCACTCGCTGCGCTTATGTTCCCCTTTCCTTCACTTGCATTCCTCGCGCTTCCACCATCGCCTCCTGCTGATGATGCCCTCTTGCCTGGTTTCGGCTTGTGCAACCCTCGCATGCGTCGGCCTTGCTTGTACTCCCTCAGTCGTCGCTGCAGCAGAGCACTCTCAACGGCTGGTAACCACTGGACACCGGGAGTTAAGGAAAGGGGAGGGCAGAGGTGGAAGAGAGATGAGGGGATGGGGTGAGAGGAGTAAGGGGACGAGGGAAAGGGGAGAGAAAGGAAGTGCGGGAGGGGAGGGCAGTGAAGAGGAGGAGAAGGGGACAGGGAAAGGAACAGAAAAGAATGCCCAGCGGAGGTGGACGGAAATGGACAACGGGATGGCATGGCTGAAGGGCTGACTGCTAAAAGTACTGCTCGCTCCACATAATTCATGTGCTTAATCCCCCCCACGCTTTCCCCCACTAGAAGTGAGTTCAGACGCAGACAGAAATCGGCCAAAAGCACTCAATCGCCTCTTCATTATAGTACGTATGCGTAATAACCTCTTCAACGTAGTCCATTAATAACCTCTTCAATATAATGCACAAAGCTCAGCCCACCGATACAGGCTACTCACCCACTCACCTCATTCACAGTCTGTAATACACGGTTGGTAAAAGCAGGACTCCAGCCGTGAGCGGACGAGAGAGGAACAGACGCAGAATATGCAGGGGAATCAGCAGCAGATGCAGTAGGATCAGGAGCAGAATCATCGTCAGCAATGGTAACAGCAACAGCAGCAGCAGCAGCAGCAACCGCAGTGCTCGATGAGACAGCTTTTGTGTTGGAGAGTAAAGAGAGGGAGAGGTTGCTGTTGGTGAGGAAGGGCTGCCAGATAGAAGGCTCCGGGGAGGGAGAGGATGATGATGGAGCAGCCCTGGTGCAAGCAGTGCTGGACCCTGCCATTACACCCCCTTGCTGCTCAAAGAAACCAAAAAGAGAACACACAAAGACCACACAGCAAAGAGCACACAGGAGAAGGAGAAGGAGAAGGAGAAGGAGAAGGAGCAGGTGAGGCGAGGGAGGAGCGACAGCTGGGGTATGGCTGAAACCAATTCCTGTGTAACGTGCAGACCGTTCCCCCTTTTCCCCAATCACTTGTGCGCATAGAGTGAGCACATATATATCGTCCAGCATGCCACATGCACAACACGCATCGTACAACGCAAAAGATTCGATTCTCATAACTCCCAACAACCAACCCACCACCACATCCACTCACTTGGACGCACAGAATGGGCACAGCTTCATTCTCCAGCACACCACACGCACAGCACACATCGTAAAACGTCGACATGTTGAGACTTATTACGCTCAAGCGCAACACACCCCATTCACCCCACTCACTCACTTGCACGCACAGAGTGGGCACGGATATATCTTCCATCACCCCACACGCACAGCACGCATCGTAGAACGCCGTGACCGACCCGTAGCCCAGCGCACGGCGTGACATGGCGTCGTCCCATTGGCTGACCGACGAAGCCGCCAGTGCTGCTGACAGGTCCAGGGGCTCATGCGGGCCCCACGCGCCAGAAAATATCATCTGCGGAGGTAAGAACAGGCAGTTTGTAGGGAGGAAAGTGGAGAGGGTTTGTAGGGCAGGAGCATTGGCGTTTTGTAAGCTCTAAAAGAAAGGATGCGGATAACGACGGGCCCACCCACGAGGCAGGGATAGTTTTAAGACGTCTCAAAACTGAACCGTTTCGAAAGCTATGAAAGCAAGGATGTGCCAGCCTGGAAGGATGTGAATAACGATGGGGCCACCCACCCACGTGGCAAGGATAGGCCACTCAGGACCGGGTGGGGAGAGGGAGAAGGAACAGACGAAAATTGCTGGTTTCTGAGAATTCTCAAAAACCAGGGAGAAGGATCGGACGAGATGTGAAGCCTCGCAAGCAACAGAGGGAGGCAGGGAGAGGGTGAGTGTGGATGAGTGCGGAGTGTGGGTGCGAATGGGTGTGGGTGGGTGGAAGGGTTTGCGTTGGGGTTAAGTAGGGGAACCTTATGCGTGTGCAGGAGTTGCTGGTAATCCCGGACCATCTTCCTGGAAACTTCTTCCTCTTCGTCAGAGCAGAGCTGGTTGGAGGAGCAGCCATGGTGGTGTTGATGCAGGCAGGAGGGCGAGTCAATCACCATAGCTGCTTGGATACCCCTATGCCCCGAGACCTGCTTCAACACCCCACCGCCTTGCTTCACCACCCCACCACCACCAGTTCCCCCATTCCTCCCAGTACCAGCCCCTTCCACGCCATGCAGCTCCCTTCCTGCCTTCCCAGTCCTTCTTTTCCCCCTGCTGCTCGTCTGCCCCCGTTTCTCCCAATTCCCTGGTTCCCCTGTCTCCCCATTCCTCCACCTCGCCCCCCTCCCTGCTTCCCCCAAGTGCCGCAGCAGCAGATGCCCCCCCAGGCCTACTCCCACGGCCACTAGGAGGGAATCGGGGCAGGAAGCTGCGAGGAAATTGGCTGCCAGTGCCACGTCAGCGCTGTCAGCTGGTGAGAAGAAGCTGCCGGGAGCGAACGTGACGACATGGAGGGAGGAGGGAGAGCGAACGAGAAGGAGATGGAAAAGGCTGACGGGTGCGAATGGGAAGACATGGAGGGAGAAGTGAGGGCGAGCGACAACATCAATGTCTCAGTAGTGATGCTCCACTTTGACGCCCAAGCAGACTCGCACTCACCGGGGGGAGGTAACGGGACTGCCACCGCACCCTCTCAAGTTGAGCACCATGGGCACGTGGCCCCTGGCAGCAATGCTACACGCCAGGCGCTGAATGAAGGAGTCCGCGCTGCCTGCTGCCATGCCCTTTCAGTCGACTCAGAATTCACCACACGTACTCACCGTGGGGAGGTAACGGGGCTGCCACCGCAGCCCCTCAGGTTGAGCACCACGGGGGCATGACCCCTACTAGCAATGCTGGTCGCCAGGCGCTGAATGAAGGGATCCGCGCTGCCTGCTGCCATTCCTTTGCATTCAGGCTCAAATGTCACCACAAGCACTCACCGGGGGGAGGTTACGGGACTGCCACCGCACCCTCTCAGGTTGAGCACCACGGGCACGTGGCCCCTGGCAGCTATGCTGGTCGCCAGGCGCTGCATGAAGGGGTCCGCGCTGCCTGCTGCCGTGCCTGCCACCACCAGCACCACCACCATGCCCAAACCTGCCCCAGCTGCTCCATCAGGGCCATGGGCGCATCGCATGGCCTCTGGAAGCAATGGCTCACCTCACCCTCACCCTCACCCTCACCCTCACCCTCACCCTCACCCTCACCCTCACCCTCACCCTCACCCTCACCCTCACCCTCACCCTCACCCTCACCCTCGCCCTCACGCTCACCCTCACCCTCACCCTCACGCTCACCCTCACCCTCACCCTTACCCTCACCCTCACCCTCACCCTCACCCTCACCCTCACCCTCACCCTCACCCTCACCCTCACCCTCACCCTCACCCTCACCCTCACCCTCACCCTCGCCCTCACCCTCACCCTCACCCTCACGCCCAACAGCACTGTCCCTCCAGGGATGCTCAAAGTGACACCCAAACGAGCTGGCACTCACCGGGGGGAAGTAACGGGGCTGCCACCGCAGCCCCTCAGGTTGAGCACCACGGGGGCATGACCCCTACCAGCAATGCTGCTCGCCAGGCGCTGAATGAAGGGATCCGCGCTGCCTGCTGCCGTGCCTGCCACCACCAGCACCACCATGCCCGCACCTGCTCGCAGCTGCTCTAGCAGGCCCAACCGCTGCTGCTGCTGCTGCTGCTGCTGCTGCTGCTGCTGCTGCTGCTGCTGCGACAAGCCCAAGGGCTGCGGCACTCCCAAGGGACAATCCTTGAGGAAATCCAGAGATAAAGTCCCGCCATCTGGCGTGGAGATGCAGTGCCGCCCAAACAACCGCCTCTGGCTTGCAGCTCCATCCAGCTGCTGCCGCCCCGAAATCCGTCTCTGGATTGCTGCGCCGCCCACTTGCCGACCAGGGATCTCCCTCCCATTGGTTACCTCCCTATGTACGACAGAACCCTCCAGTGGGGGAGATGACTGGAACTCCAGCAATGGTATCCGCTGTTGGAATCCTAGTCTTTGCACCTTACTATTTTTAATCCCAATCCCAACCTTGGTATCTTCAATCCCAATCCTAGCCTTGCCAGGCCCTACTTCAGTCCCATCATTTCCATCACTCTCAGCAGGAGCATTGTCAGGCGGTTTTTGGAAGAGCATGCTCGGTGTAGCAGCAGGGGAAAGAGACGGGCACCGAGCCAGGAAATATTTCTGGAGGCCACTTTCGTCGAACTCGGGCAGCAAGAAAAACTCCACGCCACGTTCCTTTGTCGATACTTGATCTGATTCTGTTTCCGAATCACTGTTCTCCCGTCCTCCAGCTTCTGTTTCCCACTCCCCCTCTTGCGCTGAACCACCTGATCCCCACGGACCAAAGCCAGACGCAGAGGCAGCAGCAGTAGCACCATCACCATCGTCAGCACCAGCACCAGCAGCAGCACCAAGGGAGCCACCACCACGAACAGAGGAGCCTATTAAAAAGCCTGCAAGAGCCAAAGCCGCACCCACCAGCAGGCCACCCACCAGATTCGGTGCACCAGTCAATGCTACATCCGATGCTAAGCTCAGTGCTACATCCGGTGCCACGTTCAGTGTTATATCTGGTGGTAAACTCATTGCTACGCCCGGTAACACGTCTAACGCTACATCTGGTGCTACTACTCCAGCCTCTGCTGACCGCTCCAGCGTCTCCTCAACCGCTCCTATCACAGCATGCCACGTGTCACTGCTGCTCCTAGGACCAGAAGAGAAATCAGCAGGTAGAGCAGAAACCGAGAAACGAGCTCGTTTGCTCCTCCTCCCTCGACCTCCTGACGTGGCGAAACTGGTGAGCGAATGTCGAGCTGAGTTACCAGGTATACTCGCAACACAATGACCGGAAAAGGGGGCAGAAACTTCGTGCCTGGGTCTGCGGAGACCAGAAAATCCCCCAAACCTGCCTCCCGCCGGCAGAGTCTCTAATATCTGCGTGCTACTTGGTCCCTGAATTCTCGCTGATTTCCGATATAAGCCGAGTATCTCTGATGGCGTATAACGTGCACCGATTAGCAACGAATCCATCCAGAAGTCCAGCCCGGCTCGCACCTTCCTCGAAGCTGCACGGGATTAGATAGGTGGAGCACTGATATTCCGAAGGGGCCGTTTGTAGGAGGATAGCGTCATGGAGGCTACGAATACAATGAGATTCGAGCCGTAAAGACCAGTGCAGGCGCACTAAGAGAAAATGTTGTCTGGGCTTGGAGGAAGACCCAAGTCGGAAAAGCTACGCACCCTCTGCGCCGAAAGCGGAAAGGCTGCTGTCGCCGACTATGCGATGGATTATGTTTCGACTGTCATGATGATCGGAGCCGCACTCCAAATCTGTGTGTTTCGAATCGATACTTGATGAGCCAATGGCGAAGGGACAGACGTGGAAAAATCGTATAGTAGGAGAGCACCGACTACGACAGTTCGTACAGTACGACGAAACTGGTTGGACTGCCTCGGGGCATGCAAGCAAAGATGTATGTACACTTGGTCGGCTATGGCGGACCGCGGCTGAGAAAGCCAGCCAAGGAAAAAGTCGAAACGATGGCCTTGTCAAGCGTCAAGCGTCAAGGAAAAGCTTTCTCCAAGAGCATAGAAGTTGACGACGATGGATGGTTGTGACAAAACAGAATGTACAGTGTTTCTGTTCTGTCAGTTTACAAGGAACTTCATACATTTGCTCCAATGACAGCGTAGCAGTTCCCAGCCAATGTATGTTATCGAAGCACCTCTTCGACGGTATTCTTTGGAGTTTTCGCGAAGCAAAAGCCCGCTCATTGGTCGTCAACCAAACCGACTGCACCGACCGGTCAGAACTAGACATACTCGTCATAGCGGAGGCTGCTGATTCGGGAAGAACATACTGCAACACAATAGCTATAAGTCCATAACTATACAATTATAAGTCATTCATTTCATATATAAATATTCGTCAGCTCGTCCACAACTTTCCGTAACGACTTCAAGTTTCGTTACAACAAAATATCGTCAGGGTCACAAACATATCGGGTCACACTTTTCTGACCTCCTTTTCGAAAGCTCTTTTGCGGAAAACTCGGATGATATGTGGTGATGCTTTGAGGCCAGCGTGGCACAACGTCAACCCTCAGAACTAGATCGGTGTCACGTGAACAGCCGTGGTGTTTGTGGCGCAGCAGCACTCAGCAGCGCGCTGCGGTCCCACAAGCCACCGATATATTCTGTCAATCCCTCCCGTTACCCTTGGCATTGAGAACTTTATGACCCTGCCCAAAATCACTCCGGCTCATATATCCCCAGCTCTAATGCTCGAACCTGGGAGAAATTAAAATTTCCTGGCTCGGTCTGGGAGAGTACCTCAGAATGTGGATGTCATCCTCTATATCAAGTTTACCCACGCAACCTTATAGTTTAAAAGGTAAATTTACCCTTCGATAGCTCTTCCCCCTGATGCTGTTGATGGTCTCAAGGGGGACTCTGAGCCACAGGAATGATTTCAGGCATCAGAAAGCCGCCATAGCTGTACTCTATCCTAGAAACACTTTGCTCAGCCACAGCCTTCCAAGAGCAGACAATCTTCCTAGATCTTACAGCGGGTCACCTTCTCATTGCTGTTCATTTTTAGCCAATCCTTGTGGAATTCCACTAAATCTTCACTCCAGGTTTCTGTACAGCTCAGCCATCACGTGAATCCACGTCATTTTCAAGGCAGCGTATTCCTAGACCACTAGTCCCGTCCTTCTCATCGCCTGGTGGGATTTGTCCTAGTGCCAAGTGTCCGACATTGACTGTGCAATGCTGCTGCAGTTGCCGATTTCATCCTAGGAGGTTGTATGACCCAAGAAACTCCACTCACATGGCCGACAATTAATTCACGAGTGTCCTGGTCACGCGGTTTTAAGGCGCGTCAATGCGAGCATGTCCTCAGCTTGACAGCCTGGACGAAAATCTGAATTCCGCGTTTTGAGAAATTCAGGCTGAGTGAAGCACTGCACATGGCGCTGGAATGCGACAATTGCGACCAATGCGACCGAAAATGCGACAAAGGGCATCTTTACCTTGCAATTCCCCGATCATGAGCGCAAGGAGATATTGCGGACATTCAGTGCCGCTTAGAACGCGTACCCGACTCCGGGTATTCCGGCTTACTACTCCCGCTCGCTGATAGGTGTTCGCGCTGCTACCCTCTCTATCAGTGTCATTTGTTCGGCCGGCGCGCAGGAGCTTCTGGTAGTAGTACTACTAATAGTCTTCTCCCCATAAAATTCACTAAGCACTAGCCGATTTTCTTAACAAGCCGCCTTTCTTGCTAACTCACAATGCTGTCATGGGGCTCGCCGCTTTAGTTCCCTTGCAAGTCGCCATCAGGAATTTCGGTGCACCATGCGGAGCAAGGCTGTCGTTCTCCTAACACTCGCTCCTAATTAACACTGGCTCCTAAATAACACTCTCTCCTAATAAACACTCGCTTCCAATTAGCACTCGCTTCTGACACTCGTTTTCGGCACTCGCCTCTAATAAGCACTCGCTTCTGGCACTCGAGAAAAGGAGGTATCAATTGCCGGCTCTGCCACAGCTACTACCGCCAACCCCACCGAACTCAACCGAGCTCAATCCGGAATCCTCAAGAGCGGTCGAGGAGGCCTATACTCTGTTGACTGTCCCACACACCCCTGGCCCCTGCTAAAGCTTCGAGGAGAAGCCTCAAAGTTCGGCCTGTGCCTCAGCGAGCCTGCATTGCACCCTGAAGCTCTGCATTGCATTCAAGGTGAAGCCACTTTTGAGGCTCCTCAAAAATCACCCCGTGCCGCCACAGCGAGCTTGCATTGCACCTGCAAGCTGTGCCACACAGCATTGCTGAAGCTCTGCATTCAAGGAAAAGCCGGCAGCAGACAGGCTTGTAGGAAGCAGCCGCAGCACCTGCATCAGTGGCAGAAGCGGCAGCACCTACAACACCACCACCAACCGTGGCAGCAGTGGCAGCAGTGGCAGCAGCGGAAGCTCCAGCAGCGGCAGCCCCAGCAGCAGCAGCAGCAGGGCGGCAATGCGCATTTTGTGCGACGTGTGCGAGGCGGCACCCGCCAAGGTGTTCTGCGCTGCTGATGAGGCTGCTTTGTGCCTCGCGTGCGACAACAAGGTAGCCCGAAACTCACGCTACTAGTCGTACTAACCACCGAGTCATTGCTGTTCTGCACGGCGCAAGTGAAAGCTCCCATAATACAAGTCACGCCCTTGTCAATTCCCTTCGCTGACTTGCTCTTCCCTGTATCTTTCCAACCCCCCTCCCCATTTCCCCCCATAATCTCTCCCCACCATCAGGTCCATGGGTGCAACAAACTCGCCAGCCGCCACGTGCGCCTGGAGCTGTCATTACAGGTTGGCCCTTACTTTCCTACCCCTATCCCTGCATTCCCTCCTCCCCTCTCTCTCCCCTCTCCCTCCACTTAACAGGTGCACGGGTGCAACAAGCTCGCCAGCCGCCACGTGCGCCTGGAGCTCTCAGGACAGATTGACCCTTACCTTCCTACCACTATCCCTCCTTCCCTCATTCCCCCTCTCCCCGCACCACCATCAGGTGCACGGGTGCAACAAGCTCGCCAGCCGCCACGTGCGCCTGGAGATGGCCTAGACAGGTTGGCCCTTACCTTCCTACCCCTATCCCTCCCTTCCCTCATTCCCTCACTCCCGCTGTCCCCTTCCCCTCCCCTTTAACAGGTGCATGGGTGCAACAAGCTCGCCAGCCGCCACGTGCGCCTGGAGCTCGCAGAGGCGCGCGCCATCCCCCGCTGTGACATCTGCGAGAACGCGCCTGGTGAGTGGGTGGATTGAGTGGGAAGGGTGAGTGGGAGGGGTGAGTGGGAGGGGTGAGTGGGAAGGGTGAGTGGGAGGGGTGAGTGGGAGGGGTGAGTGGGAGGGGTGAGTGGGAGGGGTGAGTGGGAGGGGTGAGTGGGAGGGGTGAGTGGGAGGGGGTGAGTGGGAGGGGTGAGTGGGAGGGGTGAGTGGGAGGGGTGAGTGGGAGGGGTGAGTGGGAGGGGTGAGTGGGAGGGGTGAGTGGGAGGGGTGAGTGGGAGGGGTGAGTGGGAGGGGTGAGTGGGAGGGGTGAGTGGGAGGGGTGAGTGGGAGGGGTGAGTGGGAGGGGTGAGTGGGAGGGGTGAGTGGGAGGGGTGAGTGGGAGGGGTGAGTGGGAGGGGTGAGTGGGAGGGGTGAGTGGGAGGGGTGAGTGGGAGGGGTGAGTGGGAGGGGTGAGTGGGAGGGGTGAGTGGGAGGGGTGAGTGGGAGGGGTGAGTGGGAGGGGTGAGTGGGAGGGGTGAGTGGGAGGGGTGAGTGGGAGGGGTGAGTGGGAGGGGTGAGTGGGAGGGGTGAGTGGGAGGGGTGAGTGGGAGGGGTGAGTGGGAGGGGTGAGTGGGAGGGCGTAAAAGGGGCCCGGTGACTGGCGTGCAGAGGCGCCTGGAGCTAGCAGAGGCTCGTGCCATCCCCCGCTGTGACATTTGCGAGAATGCGCCTGGTGAGTGAGAGGGCTTACAACGGTGGTGGGTAGCGTGCTGATAGCGTGCAGAGGCGTGCGCCATCCTCCGCTGTGACATCTGCGAGAACGACCCTGGTGAGTGGGGCATATAGCGGGACTGCTGATAGCGAGTACGAGGAGGGTGGGGAGATCGGAAGCGCTGGGAAAGGGGAAGTGCTGAAGGGGATGGAGGCTGCATGTGGAGACCCCATGCACCTTCCACCCCGGCCCTTCCACCCCGGCCCTTCCACCCCGGCCTGCCCATTCTTCCTCCTCCTCCTCCCCATCCTCCTTTCCTCCTCCCCACCTCCCTTCCCCCCTCCCCCTCCTCACAGCCTTCTTCTATTGTGCAGTGGACGGCACGTCCCTCTGCCTGCAGTGCGACCTTGATGTGCACATAGGCGGCAAGAAGGCGCACGAGCGGTACCTGCTCATGGGGCAGCGCGTGGAGGTGAGGAAAGGGATGGGAGGGGTATAGGGGCAGGGGCGGTTACAATGTGGGGGTTCATTGACCCGTGGGGTTCACTCACAGGTTTATCTGGCCTAGGCGTGCACATAGGCGGCAAGAAGGCGCACGAGCGGTATCTTCTCATGGGGCAACGCGTGGAGGTGAGACCCACGAGGGTAGGGGTGGGGCAGGGACGGTCAGGGGGTGGGGGCTCATTGACCCGTGGGGTTCACTCACAGGTTTATCTGGCCTAGGCGTGCACATAGGCGGCAAGAAGGCGCACGAGCAGTATCTTCTCATGGGGCAACGCGTGGAGGTGAGACCCACGAGGGTAGGGGTGGGGCAGGGACGGTCAGGGGGTGGGGGCTCATTGACCCGTGGGGTTCACTCACAGGTTTATCTGACCTTGATGTGCACATAGGCGGCAAGAAGGCGCACGAGCGATACCTGCTCATGGGGCAATGCATGGAGGTGAGAGGGATGCTATGGGAAAAGCGCTGAACCAAACTCTGAATTTTACTCAGAAATTGAGACACGCAGATGAAACGGGTGGAAGTGAGGCAAGAGGATGACATGGGTATGAAAAATGAGGCGGTATTGGTGAGAGAGAATAAATAAATCACGTTTTTTTCCCTGCCGCTTACCCCTCCTTCCCCCTCACCCTGCTTTTCCCTGCTTCCCCCCACTTACTCCTCCCGTTCTAGCGGAGGACCCCACCCAGCCCGCCCTACTCTCCTCTCACGGTCTCACCCCTCTCCACTCCCAGTTGTTTCCCTCCTTCCCCTTTCTCGTCCTGCCCCTACGCCTATCCCTCTTCCCCCGTTCCCTCACCCCCCGTTCCCCGCCCCTCGTTCCCCCTCTTCTCCTTAGCTCCCCAAGACGACCCCCGCTCTGTCGGAATACCCCACCCAGCCCGCCCTTCCCTCACTCCTCGCCGCTTCTCCTTTCCCCTTTCTTTCCCCTTCTACCCTTCCCCCCTCCCGCTCCTTTTTTCCTTCCCCCCATCACAGCTTCCCAAGACCCCCCCCGCTCTGGCGGAGGACCCCACCCAGCCCGCCCTCCCCTCCCCAGGGGGCGGCCCTCCGGACCACCCCCTCCGCCCAGGGGCGCAGGGGGGTGGTGGGGGTGGTAACCCCACTGGTAACCCGACTGGTAACCACATGGGTAACACGGGGAATGCCGATATGGGCGGTGGGAACATGGGGAACGGGAATGTGGGGAATCATGTGCATGGGAGCGGGGGAGGTCAGGGGAACACGCAGGGGGGAGGTGGTATGTGGCATGGAGGGGCGAATGGAGGGGGGGGTGGGGAGGGGGAGGGAGGGAGAGGTATTGAAAACGGTGTTGGTTTTGGTGCTGCTGCTGGTAAGGATGGTGAAATGGGAGGACGAGGAAGAAGAGGAGGAGAAGATGACGAGATAATGCACACGCAGCAAGGAGGGGAGACGGGGGGAAGGGACAACAACGAGCCAACTCCTATGAGTGTGGTGCTCCCAACCCTTGGGGGCGAGGGAGGGTCAGGTGGGACAGCAGGAGGAGGAGGAGGAGGAGGCGGAGGAGGGGTGACAGGAGGCGGAGGAGGGGGAGGGTCAGGGGGATTTACAGGTACAGCTACTGGGACAATGCAAGCATTGACCTTGAACGTGGGCGGAGGGGGCAGCGGGGGAGAGGGGGGTAGTGGGGGCGCCGTTCAGGAGAGGGCTGGGGCTGGGGCAGGGGCAGGGGCAGGGGTAAGGGGTGGGGTAGGGGGTGGGGGTGGGTTAGGGGTAGGGGCCGTGGCAGGGAATGGGTTTTATAGTTTAAGGTCCGGTGCTGCTGGGTTGGGGATGGGGATGGGGACTGGGGTGGGAGCAGGAATGGGAACAGGGATGGGAACAGGGATGGGGTTTCGGAAAGCTGGGGCGGTAGGAGGGGGGAGAGGAGGCGAGGAGGGGGGGGCTAGGAGTATGGTTATGGGGAATGTGAGTGATGCCCCTGCTGTGGCTATAGCGGTGGGGGATGATGAGATCCCTGCGTTGTTGTCACCTGCTGTAGAAGCACATGAGTATCAGCCACAGCACGTGCAACAGCAGCTACAGCAGCAACAAAAACAGCAACAACAACAGCAACAACAACAGCAACAACAACAGGTGCAACTGCATCCACAACAGCAGCAGCAACAGCAGCAGCAGCAACAGCAGCAGCAGCAGCAGCAGCAGAAGCGAGAGGAGGGGAATCAAGGGAGGGGTGGCATGATCGATCTAAACTCCTGGCCTCAGCGTTCCACTGAAGCCTCACAAAAGAAGGTGAGCTATTCTGAAAGGACTGGGTGAAGTGGTTAAGGGTACAGGTGGGGCTTACTGAATGCTTACTGTTCCTCCCGACTCTTCGGTTTATGCTGTTTAAAAGAGGAGCGTGATGGAATGTTTTGGCTGCAGTTTCCTGTTTTTTCCTTTCTTTCTTTCTGATATTCCCCCAAGTCTTGGATGCTTCTGTGCTCCTTCTCACAGCTGTAGTGAGCTTGTGGCTGCAGGGAGGGAGCAATGGAGGAGAGCTGAGCAGCGAAGCAGGAGTTGTGCCGGAAATGCTGCCCGATGAGATTGCCGTCCAGGCAATGTGATTGCTACCACCTCTCAACAGCATGTTTGGCCGTTTTTCCAACATTGATTAGGAACCACTGAGATGTTTGGAATGGCTATTATGTACCGTTTGCCAAACAGTTTCTATTGTGATGGAGGCGATGTTTCGGACCAACTACGCACTGTTGCACAAGTCACATGCATTTTTATCTGTACATGAGAAACTAATATGTACTACCTGAAGCGAATGTGACAATTGTTATCAACGAAATTGTGAGAAACGCATTTGCATTTATATAATCAAACGAAGTCAGTTCAATAACGGGTAAAGTGAAACCAAGATCCCAACAACGCCGCACCTGCCCTTTAGCAACCACGCTGCAGCCCTCCGTATCTCGGTAAAGCGCCAAAACTGCCTGGGTTGCTGAGCTGACAATCCAAACCAAATTTGATTTTCCAAGCAAGTGCCCGAAAGGGAACCAAGCAGAGGAGAAATGCTTGACTCCAGTCTGTCCTCGTGACTTGAGGTCTGCCCATTCCCTCAGGTGGACTCAAACTCTTTTTGACACCCAACAGTCAGCCTTGCGACACACGCACCGCCACCGCCACCCGACCTCGCTTTTCCAACAAGCATTGGCGCGCAGACACAAGTCCTCAAGAAATCCCACTGCCACAACACGCGCAGCACTTTTTATTGGTGATCGGTCTGCCAGCTTTCTCGCACCGCGACATTTCCAACGAAAGTCCCTAGGTAGGAAAGGACCGGGGCAGCAAAAATGGCGAATTTTCTGTACACTACCAGGTGTACATCACACTGTCCAGCTAGAAGCTGCTGTTGCCAAAATTATTCGCTTCTGGTGCTTTGCCTCAGTGCTCCTCTTGTTCCTTCTCCTGCTCTCCAGTGTGGATTTTCTCCATTGAATCCTTGAGATCCTAGGCAACGTTACCCAAGAGTTTCCAGTTCAGTTCGGAATCTGAGCAACTGTGTCACACCCAAACTCTTACACAACCACGCTACACTCCGTTTCTATTGCCTTTCCCTAATAACTGTCCCCCTTCCATGGGACCCTCTCCTAACTGTTGCACCAAAGCACCTACCCGCGGATTTACGCTTGATTTCCACCAACCAACTGTCTCACATTATTTCGCATCCCATGTTTGCTGCACTTTTGCCACAATTTTATTGAACGCCCCAAGTAGAAATTGGTTGCGGGACTATACAGCGCGTTACGGGTATCACACCTTGGGATTGCCCACCTGCCTTCACTCGTCAAAAACAAGCATTGGACAACATGCAGCGCTGCGATGCTAACTCCTGCAGAAGAAGCTGTGAGACAGTTCACATCCTTCTCAAAACTCGCTCTGATCTCTTTTCTTCCCACAGGTGACGTTGAGACTTTTCCTAACAGCCAGTTCCCTTCCCACTGCGCGAATGCAGCCTACTGCATGGCAAAAATCACTACAGAAGGCAGAGCGACGCCAGCTTTTGCGGGAGATTCTCAAAACATCTGAGCGCAGCCACCCCGTGTGACGCCTTGCAGTAGTAGTAATGTTAGTAGACGTCATAGCAGTTCATTTTTTCAATAATTCCTGACTACTCTTTGACTCTGAGAGTCTAGTCGCTCGCGACTTTCCATACTTTCTAAGACGCCGAAGTTCATCTTGAAGTTTTCCTGTATTCCCGCGTTCCCCGAAGCCGCCGACGCCGGCGCCTGTCGTGATGAAAGCTAAGCGGAGTTTCAGTTATGGCGGGTCCCGTCAGAAGATCGGAAGCGGCCATATCAGCCGCCAATTCATCAGCCAATCCAGCAGCAACCAACCACCGCAGGCGTTCCCGGCTTGCCCTCGAGTTTCGTCCCCGGGCCCTTCAACGCTCGACGACTCGTCCGCCGCTTTTTGCGCCGCCGATTGCGCCGCAGGCCGCAGCCTGGATCCGCAAGCCACCGCGCCGTCTATTTACTCGGGGATCGCGGGCGGAAATTTCGGATCTGACATATTGTGTTCTTACCCCAGCTTAGATCGCGGCAGCAGCACCAGTTCCGCCGCCACTCTCGCTTCCCCCTCCTTCTTCTCCCCCGCGGACGCCAAGGGGCGCCTCTCCGCGCAGTTTGGCCCAGGCATGTGGGCGGAAGGCGGAAACTATTCCGCTATGGAAGCGTCCCCGGAGCGGAACTGGGTGGGGGAAGCAGCAGTACGCGCGGGTTTCTCCGGACGACGTCTCTCCACCTCGTCGTACTTCCAGACACTTTTTCGCGTGGGCGAAAGTTGCGAGAGTGGCGAAAGTTGCGAAAGGGAGAACGATTTCCTGGAAACGGGTTACGACGAGAGCGACATAGCGGAAGCTTCGTGCCTGGCGCGCCGTTCCCCGCGGATCTCCTCGTCGCGCCGCAGCCCCTCGTTCTTCTCCCCCGCGCGCGCGCAGCTCCCCCACTTCCCCGCGGCCTATCCTCCCCCCAACATCCTCTTCCGCTTCTCCCGCAGTAAACGCCTCTCTGAATCCTCCGTCTGCGTTCCCGCCGCGCCTCCCGCCATGTTTCCCTCCGCTTCCGCTTCCAATTCCGCCGCCGCGAGCCGCCCACCTTCCTCTTCGACCTGCGTAACGCCAGTAGACCCATGGCAAGCGGAAAGGCTGACTCAGCAGGCTCTGGCCGAGAAGGGATGCCCGCCAGACGTGTCTGTGACGGGGGGACGAATGCCCGTCTCTTCAGGTGCTTCGTCAGGTGCTTCTTCAGGTGATTCTTCAGGTGCTGGTGCAGCAGCAGGTGAAACGCGGGAAAGCAGCAGGCTGGAGATCTCGTTTGAGAACCTGTCCTTGGATTCGGATGAAGCAGGTTCGTCGGAAAGCTCTGCTGCTGCCGCCACTGGGCAAACGCAGCAAGCATTGTTCAGAATGTCACAATTTGACTCCAATTCGGATGAAGCGGGCTCATCAGAATCCTCTGTTGCTGGGGAGGAGCAGCCAATGGCAGCACCGCGAGCGGTTCCCACTAGGAGGGAGGAAAGCTCCTGGGCGGTTCCAATGTCCTCCTATTGTTCGCAAACGTTGCTACGGGAAGAGGAGGGCAAGGACGGATCGGTAACCACGGTTTATCCCGGGGAGCACCCTGAAGCTGACAGAAAGGTCCGCTCTGATGCTGCAGTTTTTTCCAAGGACACTGAAGGGGACAGTCAGCCCCACTTTGAACACTTTGAAGCGCATAGCAAGATGAAATCTGACATTCCTTTTTCCCCTCGGCAGCAGCTTTCGAGGAACTTCTGTCGGCTGTTGGGATGCTGGGCTGGCTCTAAGGGCAGCAGAGCACGAGGAGCTTGCGTGCGGGAATGTGACAGCGGGAGGGTTGGGGAAGAGGATGGGGGAGGGGCTGGCATGGGAAAGAGGGCCTGCTGTGGGAACGTATGCAAGGCGGCGCATGTTGGACAAAGAAGGGGGGACTTGATGGGGGATGTGATGGGCAGTGTGGGTGGTGGTGAGGGAGATGCCAAGGAGTCTGCCGCTGGAAGCAGAGGTAGGCTGAAGAAGTGGTGGGGGGGTGTGTAATTCTTGTGCTCTGGGAGCTCTACAGCTACTGCGGTCCGTGGAGGTCTAGATTGGGGACGTGTACAGTATAATTCCAGCAACATGACGTGTAAGGAGTTTGTATTGCACGCAGGTTCATAGTAATAAATGATTGGTTTAGGTTGCACGCAGGTTCATAATAATTAATTATTGGTTTAAGTTGCACGCGATGCTAATGGTTAGCAGAATTAGTAGGAAGGTATGAACAAATGCATCCATTAATCTATACCCCGCACACACACACGGCGCACACATACTAGCACACTCACTAACGCACTCCCTAACGCACACACACACGCGCACACCACACTCTGCACACTAGAACCAACTGCTGCACACGGTGGAGGCAAACTTAGAGCCACTGCTTACTAGCAGCGTGATATAATAAGTTAGTGCGGAGACATAAAAAATAACCAGCTTTATCATCACCGTGACTCAAATGGTAGCGGCGAACTTGAGCCACTGCTTCAGAGCAGGGGACTTTTTCAGAGCACCCTTGAGCTCTCCACCCTTCTCCGCAGGCTTCGCGGAACCTTCCAGGGGAGCCTTCTTTGCCTTGGGACTCGCCGCTGCCGCGGCATTGCCTCCCTTGGGCACCTTTCTACGAGCGGAGCCATCGGACTTAGCCCCTGCAACCGCAGCGCGCGGCGCGGGGGCGCGAGACTTGGCAACTTTAACGGCGGCGGTGGCGGCGGCGCCGCCGATGTCACTCGCCGCGGCGGCGTCCGCGTGGTAGCTGTACATCTGCGCGACGCGCTCCAGATGCTGCGCCTCCATCAGCGCGTCGACGACGCGCATGCGCGCCGCGTGGAGGTCCTTCCGAATCGCCTCCTCAGATACCACCTCCGCGCCGAGCCCGAGCGCGAGGAGCTCCAGAGGGGCAGGCAGTTCCTGGGACAGGTTCATCTGGTGAACCTGGTCGGCTGGGAGCTGCGTGAACGTCGGATCTGCCTCTAGGAACATCAGACGGTCGAGAAACTCCGTCTCCCAGTACCCCGCGCCGATCACGGCGTCCATTGCGCGCTTGCGCGCGTCCTCCGCGTTAACTACCTCGGGCTTGGGGGCAGATTCCGCGCCGACGGCGGATGCGGATTTGAGTTCGTCGGTGATTGCCTGGACGGTCGAGTCGGGAAGCGCCGTCGGCGCCGCAGTTGGCGGCGTGTGTTCCGGCTCCACAACGGCGTGCTCCAGGGCTTCGGTGATGGCGGCGGCTGGTGCGGCGAGGGAGAGTTGGCCCAAGGACGAAAACGACGACCTTCGCGAATGGCTACTGCTGAATCCCGCTGTCGCCGTGTTACCATAGTCGGCGAAATCTGGGAACGACGACGCCGCGTGCGAGTGGGTGGCGAAGGAGTGGTTCACGTGCGACGGAATCGCGGAGTTGGCGAGGGAGCTGCTGGCGAAGGGATCGGTATGGTGCAGCGGCTGTGGGCATGCGATAAGGGACGACGTGCTGCGACGCGCCTGGAGGGAGCTGCGGCGCGTCGAGACGGACTGGTGCTGCGAAAAGGCGGGCGCAACGTTGGTGTCGGGCGCGATCAGCATCGCGAGAATCTTCCCCGTCGGCTTCATCCTGAAGGGTGAGGGAGTGGCAACCAGGCTGTGGTTGTTCTCACACTCACGAGGTCGTGATGCTTCGCAGAGAGAGCTACGGACGAGCAGACTCACGGGTTGTATGTGTGACTCGGATAAAAACTCGCGAGTGAAGGAGTAAGAAGGACTTAGAGTAGCACCGGAGGTCGGCACTAGGAGATGGTGGAATGTTTGAGACGATTTGGCGCAAGAATGGCAGATATAGCTCGTCTAGGAAGATCCTGGAGTGGTCGCGGCCACGATGACGTTTTGTACAGGTTCCACTCGAAACGGGGAAGGGGCAGCAGCAATGGATGGACAAGCAGCAAAACTTGTGTTACAGGACGAGAAGGGAGAAGCAAAGCAAAGGAACGGCTGTGTGTTGTGTAAATTGCAAATTGCAGAGAAATTTGCTGAAATTCCGAGGCGAGGGGAGATGGATGGACGGACGGGAGGAGGGGCAGCGAACTGTAGCTTCAGCGTGGAGGGGCAGCGCGATGCGATAAATTAGGATTTTGGCGTGTATGTGTTTTCGAAGCGCGCCTTGCGATCTTGTGGCGTGAGTGGATTTTTTCTTCCCCTCCTTTCGCGGATGTGGCGCACAGGTTCACTGCAAAAATCAGGTGACACGTAAGGACTGCAGCGCTTACGCTGTCGTGAAATCGAACGTGAGCCATAAGAAACATCGAGAAACGACAAAATCGAAACACCTTCGGTTGCATCCCTCATCCGCAACCATCAACTCGATAACTGGTTGAAGACACTGCCAATCAGTCGCTTTCGAGAAGCAAGCAAATCATGAGGGACACGGTGTAAAAAATCTCGGCGCGCATCTCAGCCACCAGATAATTTGTAAGCGAGCGGGAGCCACGATGTCTTGGGTTTTTGGGCACTGGGTGGCATCTTTCTTCCACGTCAGAAAAGCCACGTGGTAGTTCCGCAATAAATGCGTCACTATATGCCTATGTACACTAACATTGAATTCATCATACGTCAACAAGACTGTAAGCTCTCTCAACACTTCAACTGCGACTTGGCTTTCTCCACACCTCAAACAAGCATGAAGGTAATGCTGGAATTTCCTGGGTGGAACATGTTACAGAAAATTTCTGAAAACCTTTATTAAGCAATTAATAAGTTTTATGCAGTTAAGATTGAATAGACCAATAAATGTATAATGACAGATTACTGATAATTAAATTGTTCACGAGAGGCATGTCGATGTAGTATAATGGTCAGTATCTCCGCCTGTCACGCGGAAGATCCGGGTTCGATCCCCGGCATCGGCGTTGTTTTTCTCTACTCCAGCTGTTGTTCAGTCACGGATTCCTAACAGTCCGCCTTACTTCTGGGAAGCCTTCGCACAGAACTGACCTTCTTTTTTGTCCAGCAATTTCCCGCTGCGCGCCGATGGCTGCGTCATCGGCATTCCCGCCTCCTGGTGAGCGTGACGCCGCTCCTTCTTTCATCTCCCTCCGCATTCATCGTTTTGCCCTCTAAAATTACTTGTTCTAGTCACCGGACGCGATTGAATCCCCGATTATTCTTCGCTGTCGGATTGTCCGTTGGAACGCGGTTTATGACATTTTCCGTCAACTCGGGCTGTGACGATTTCCGTCAGCGCAGGTAGCTTTCTGGCGGCGGCGGCGAAGGCGGAAGAGGAGGAACGGAACGGAGACGTTAAGGTCGGTGGGAAACGGGCAGGTTGAAGGGAGACGGGCGGGTGGGAAGGAAAGTTCTCGGAAGGTCGGGGGGCGAAAACGCCTTAACGGGGGAAGGCGAGAGGGGCGAGGCGAGAGTTGGGGGGGGAGTGTAATGAGCGACAGTGCGTGTAATGAAGGATGAGAGAGGCACTACTAGGGGGTGCTTTTGTGGTGAGGACAGAATATGGCTGGGTGCAGAACGGCCTACCATCACTACCATTTTCCCATGGACCATTCCAACCCCATCCCACTGTGCCCCACCCCACTGCGTCCCAACCCACTCCACTCCACCCAACCCCACCCCACCCTGCTCCACCCCTCACCAACCCAACACATCCCACACCACCCTGTGCCACCGCACCCCACCGCACCAGGCAGCCAGGGCAGTGTACGAGCAGTTGGTGGGAGATGCCGCCACTCGCTGCCCCCTCGCCCACATCCAGGTGCCTGTCCCTTCTATCTTAAGGCCACTCAAAAGGCACCAGGTAATCTACCTACCCCTCCCTTTGTTCTGTGTCGTTTCAAGAGGCACCCAAGTATTGCCCCGCCCCCCCTTGCGCACATCCAGGTGCCTATCCCTTATTTTTTAAGGCCACTCAAAAGGCACCAGGTAGGTACCTGCCCTGCCCCCCCTCGCTCGCTCTCATCCAGGTACCTACCCCTCCCTTGTTCTGAGTCCTCTCAAGAGGCACCCAAGTACCTGCCCTGCCCCCCCTCCCTCACATCCAGGTACCTACCACTCCCCGCACATGCCCTCCAATCCACCCCAACCCCTCCCTCCCACCCCTCTGCCCCACTTCCCCCACCTTGCAATCGTCACTTCCTTCCGTTCATAACTTCCTGCTCCCTACCTACCACACCCCCCAAAACCCTCCCCCCTTCCATCCCCATCAGCTCAAGCCCTTACTCCATCGCACAGAAGGCATGCAGGCGGCAAGAAGAACGTTCCTTCCCTGCAGCACGGACGGCACATGAGACCTCACTGCACGTTTACCCTCCCTTGCCCTCCTCCCCCCCCTCAACCCCATCAGCTCATGCGCTTCCTCCATCGCACAGAGGGCATGCAGGCGGCAAGAAGAACGTTCACTTGCCGCCTAACCCCTTCGCTTTCCCCTCCTCCCCTCCACCCCCACCCCCCGCAGCTCATGCGCTTCCTGCGCCGCACAGAGGGCATGGAGGCGGCAAGAAAGGCGTTCCTGGCGGCGAGGAAGGCGCGGGAGTGCTCGTTCCACGTGTACGTGGCTTCGGCTTACATGGAGCTGTGCCACAACAAGGAGAGCAAGGTGAGGCACGGATGCAAGGTGAGAAAGGAGGAAAGGTGAGGCACGGATGCAAGGTGAGAAAGGAGGGAAGGTGAGGCACGGATGCAAGGTGAGAAAGGAGGAAAGTGAGGCACGGATGCAAGGTGAGAAAGGAGGAAAGTGAGGCACGGATGCAAGGTGAGAAAGGAGGAAAGGTGAGGCACGGATGCAAGGTGAGAAAGGAGGAAAGGTGAGGCACGGATGCAAGGTGAGAAAGGAGGAAAGGTGAGGCACGGATGCAAGGTGAGAAAGGAGGAAAGGTGAGGCACGGATGCAAGGTGAGAAAGGAGGAAAGGTGAGGCACGGATGCAAGGTGAGAAAGGAGGAAAGGTGAGGCACGGATGCAAGGTGAGAAAGGAGGAAAGGTGAGGCACGGATGCAAGGTGAGAAAGGAGGAAAGGTGAGGCACGGATGCAAGGTGAGAAAGGAGGAAAGTGAGGCACGGATGCAAGGTGAGAAAGGAGGAAAGGTGAGGCACGGATGCAAGGTGAGAAAGGAGGGAAGGTGAGGCACGGATGCAAGGTGAGAAAGGAGGAAAGTGAGGCACGGATGCAAGGTGAGAAAGGAGGAAAGGTGAGGCACGGATGCAAGGTGAGAAAGGAGGGAAGGTGAGGCACGGATGCAAGGTGAGAAAGGAGGAAAGTGAGGCACGGATGCAAGGTGAGAAAGGAGGAAAGGTGAGGCACGGATGCAAGGTGAGAAAGGAGGAAAGGTGAGGCACGGATGCAAGGTGAGAAAGGAGGAAAGGTGAGGCACGGATGCAAGGTGAGAAAGGAGGAAAGGTGAGGCACGGATGCAAGGTGAGAAAGGAGGAAAGGTGAGGCACGGATGCAAGGTGAGAAAGGAGGAAAGGTGAGGCACGGATGCAAGGTGAGAAAGGAGGAAAGGTGAGGCACGGATGCAAGGTGAGAAAGGAGGAAAGGTGAGGCACGGATGCAAGGTGAGAAAGGAGGAAAGTGAGGCACGGATGCAAGGTGAGAAAGGAGGAAAGGTGAGGCACGGATGCAAGGTGAGAAAGGAGGGAAGGTGAGGCACGGATGCAAGGTGAGAAAGGAGGAAAGTGAGGCACGGATGCAAGGTGAGAAAGGAGGAAAGGTGAGGCACGGATGCAAGGTGAGAAAGGAGGAAAGGTGAGGCACGGATGCAAGGTGAGAAAGGAGGAAAGTGAGGCACGGATGCAAGGTGAGAAAGGAGGAAAGGTGAGGCACGGATGCAAGGTGAGAAAGGAGGAAAGGTGAGGCACGGATGCAAGGTGAGAAAGGAGGAAAGTGAGGCACGGATGCAAGGTGAGAAAGGAGGAAAGGTGAGGCACGGATGCAAGGTGAGAAAGGAGGGAAGGTGAGGCACGGATGCAAGGTGAGAAAGGAGGAAAGTGAGGCACGGATGCAAGGTGAGAAAGGAGGAAAGGTGAGGCACGGATGCAAGGTGAGAAAGGAGGAAAGGTGAGGCACGGATGCAAGGTGAGAAAGGAGGAAAGGTGAGGCACGGATGCAAGGTGAGAAAGGAGGAAAGGTGAGGCACGGATGCAAGGTGAGAAAGGAGGGAAGGTGAGGCACGGATGCAAGGTGAGAAAGGAGGAAAGTGAGGCACGGATGCAAGGTGAGAAAGGAGGAAAGGTGAGGCACGGATGCAAGGTGAGAAAGGAGGAAAGGTGAGGCACGGATGCAAGGTGAGAAAGGAGGAAAGGTGAGGCACGGATGCAAGGTGAGAAAGGAGGAAAGGTGAGGCACGGATGCAAGGTGAGAAAGGAGGAAAGGTGAGGCACGGATGCAAGGTGAGAAAGGAGGAAAGGTGAGGCACGGATGCAAGGTGAGAAAGGAGGAAAGTGAGGCACGGATGCAAGGTGAGAAAGGAGGAAAGGTGAGGCACGGATGCAAGGTGAGAAAGGAGGGAAGGTGAGGCACGGATGCAAGGTGAGAAAGGAGGAAAGTGAGGCACGGATGCAAGGTGAGAAAGGAGGAAAGGTGAGGCACGGATGCAAGGTGAGAAAGGAGGAAAGGTGAGGCACGGATGCAAGGTGAGAAAGGAGGGAAGGTGAGGCACGGATGCAAGGTGAGAAAGGAGGAAAGGTGAGGCACGGATGCAAGGTGAGAAAGGAGGAAAGGTGAGGCACGGATGCAAGGTGAGAAAGGAGGAAAGGTGAGGCACGGATGCAAGGTGAGAAAGGAGGGAAGGTGAGGCACGGATGCAAGGTGAGAAAGGAGGAAAGTGAGGCACGGATGCAAGGTGAGAAAGGAGGAAAGGTGAGGCACGGATGCAAGGTGAGAAAGGAGGAAAGGTGAGGCACGGATGCAAGGTGAGAAAGGAGGAAAGGTGAGGCACGGATGCAAGGTGAGAAAGGAGGAAAGGTGAGGCACGGATGCAAGGTGAGAAAGGAGGGAAGGTGAGGCACGGATGCAAGGTGAGAAAGGAGGAAAGTGAGGCACGGATGCAAGGTGAGAAAGGAGGAAAGGTGAGGCACGGATGCAAGGTGAGAAAGGAGGAAAGGTGAGGCACGGATGCAAGGTGAGAAAGGAGGAAAGGTGAGGCACGGATGCAAGGTGAGAAAGGAGGAAAGGTGAGGCACGGATGCAAGGTGAGAAAGGAGGGAAGGTGAGGCACGGATGCAAGGTGAGAAAGGAGGAAAGGTGAGGCACGGATGCAAGGTGAGAAAGGAGGAAAGGTGAGGCACGGATGCAAGGTGAGAAAGGAGGAAAGGTGAGGCACGGATGCAAGGTGAGAAAGGAGGAAAGGTGAGGCACGGATGCAAGGTGAGAAAGGAGGAAAGGTGAGGCACGGATGTGATTGTAAGGGAGTCGGCGAGTGAGCGGATGAGTGTGTCAACAGGGGGTGCTCGTTCTACCCTTTCCAGTCCCCTTCATCCTCTCTCATCCTCCCTCTCCCTTCCTCCTCCCTGCCTCCTTCCTCCTCCTCCCTCCTCCCCCTCCACTCTTGTCACCACAGGTAGCGCGGAACGTGTTTCAGCTGGGGATGAAGAAGTTCGGGTCTGAACCTGGCTTTGTGCGCGAGTGAGTGGGTGGGCGGGTGAATGGGGGGATGGGTGGGTGGGTGAATGGGGGGATGGGTGGGTGGGTGAATGGGGGAATGGGTGGGTGGGTGAGTGATGATTGAGTGAGTGAGGGAGTGAATGGGCTCTTTGAGGCGAATCAGAAGTTTGGGTCTGAACCTGGCTTTGTGCGCGAGTGAGTGGGTGGGTAAGAGGGCGGCGGGGGTGCGGGCGGGTGGGTGGGTGAGTGAGTGGCTGGGTGGGTGAGTGAGTGAGTGAGTGAGTGAGTGGGCGGGTGGGTGGGTGGGTGGGTGAGTGAGTGGCTGGCTGGGTGGGTGAGTGAGTGAGTGAGTGAGTGAGTGAGTGGGTGGGTGGGTGGGTGGGCGAGCTTTACCATGTGCTCACTTGCAGCAGCACCATCAGCAGTTGTAGTCAATGCCATGCCATGCCATCCCATATGCCATGCCATGCCATCCCATATTCCATGCCATGCCCCACCATGTCACACTGTCCCTCCATGCCACATTGCTCTCTCCCCCCGCACCCTCCCTCCCACTTCCAGGTTCGCTCGCTTCTTGAGTCGTCTCAATGACGGGCAGGCCATGCGGGAGCTGCTGCAAGGCGCCCTCTCGTCATCATCCCTCCCACCGCATTCCGCAACCATGGTCAGTGCCTTCATGATCCTGTCCTGAAGCGAGGCTTTATTGCACGGTCCTTCCAGTCGCCTCATCCTCTACTCACCTTTCTCCACCTTTCTCCACCGTTCTCCACCGTTCTCCACCGTCTTCAGCTGTGGGAGGAGCTCATTGCATGCGAGCAGCTCTTTGGGGACCTCAATTCACTTATAAAGGTAGCCTGCCTTGTCATTCTAAGATGCCACAGTTCGCTTTTGAGTCAACTCAAAAGCCGCTTTGAGTCGACTCAAAACCGCGTGTAATGAGTCTGCTTTTGAGTCGACTCAAAAGCCTTGTCATTCTAAGATGCCACAGTTCTAAGTATCCATGTTCTGAGGCTCTCATATCTTACTGTCGTGCTAAAATGCCACTAGGGTTTAGGAAAAATTATCGTTCCCCCAACCGCTTTTCGTTCCCGGTGTCTGATTCCCTCCTTCCCGTTTCACTCTGCCTGTCTCTTCAGGCACAGGAGGGTCGCCGAAAAGCTCTAGCTTCGGTAGCAGGTCCTGGCGGTGCTGCCGAGCCTGAGGTGGAGGTTTGGCGGGAGCAGCAGGACCTGGTAGACCGGTTCAGCTACTGCGGCCTGCTGCCTTGTGACGCGTCAGCTCTCCCTCCGAACCTAGAAGCAGGCTCGGCAGGTCCGGAGGCAATCCAGGCTCGGCAAAGGTCGGGGGAGGCTCAGGTTCGGGAAGTGGGTCAAGCAGCAGCAGAGAGAGCAGAAAGAGAAGCAAAGGAGCAAGAAGCAAGGAACGGCACCAGTGCAGCTGCTCCTGCAGCAGCAGCAGCAAGCACAGCAGCAGACGCAGCAGCAGGCGCAGCAGCAGCAGCAGCAGCAGCAGCAGGCGCAGCAGCAGCAGCAGCAGCAGCAGCTGCTGCACAAATAGCAGCGGTTGCAGGAGTGCAGAGAGACAGTGTTTCAAAAGCAGGGGTGAAGGCAGAGCCTCAGGAATCGCCCTTACCTCCTCCTCTGCCTCCGTCTGTGTCTCTTTCTCAAGGCATAGGGCCCGCACCGCCTGCCGTCTCCTCCCTGTCTGCTGCTCTGGCCGCTGCTGCTGCTGTGCTCATGCCTCGTGAAGGAGCAGCAGGAGCAGACGGTGCAGCAGGGGCAGCAACAGAAGCAGGGGGGGAGGGGAACGTGAAAGAGGAGGCGACTTCTAGACGGGTGAAGGAGGAAGCAGAGGGTGGGGAGAGGCCTGGTGCGGCTGTTGGTGCTGATGGCAGCACTGCTGGTGCTGGTGGGGCGAAGGAGGGTGGGGAGAAGGGTGGGGTGGAGAAGGGAGAACAGCAGAGGGAGGGGGCAGCAGGGGCAGCGGGTGTTAAGACGCATCAGTTTGTGGCGAGTGCTGCTGTGGAGTGGAAACCTGGTGAGTGAGTGAGTGCGCGAGTGAATAGTGAGTGAGTGAGTGAGTGAGAGAGTGAGCGGGTGAGTGAGAGAGTGGGTTTCTGACTGGCTGGCTGGTGTGGGAGAGGGTGGGTGAGTGGATGGGTGAGAGTGTATGAATGATTGAGTGAGAATGTATGCGTGGGTGAGCTGGCTGATCTTCCCTAAAGCTGATCCACTGCTCTTTCTGTGCCCTTACCTCTCACCTGACCAGAACTTACCCGCACAGCCGTGATATGACATGCCCTGCCCTGCCCTGCCCTGCCAGGTTCCGGTCGCAAGCATGGCATTGCAGCTTCCTCGAAGCTTCTAGAGGGCCTGCCCAGGTCCCTCGCGCACTTCGCCTCCCAGCTTCCTCCTCCTGTACCCGGTGAGTTTTTTTTTTTTTTTTTTTTTTTTTTTTTTTTTACCTCCCCTTTTCTTTTTCTTGAATGGTGAAGAAGTTGGCAGGCAACTGGCACAATGCTGCATGAGTTCCACTCCGCCTGCCCCATTTCCCCTGCCCTTCACTCCTCTCCCCCCCCCCCCCCCCCCCCTCCTCCTCCCCCTCAGCAGGCCCCTATCCCGATGTGGATTTCATCATGTCGCTGGTCATACAAGCAGAGCTCCCTGTGTGTGTGGTGGGTCGACTCAACAGTTCCATCTTCTACCCCTGCCCCCTCCCCATGCCCGCTCCCTTTGCCCCCTGCCCCTGCCCCCCCCTCATCAGGCCCCTATCCCGATGTGGATTTCATCATGTCACTGGTCATTCAAGCAGAGCTCCCACCTGAGGCGCTAGCAGCCAAATCAGGTGGTCTGCATCGCAATGCACCGCCTGGAATGGCACCTGGGGCACCTGGGGCACCTGGGCCAGGTGGCGGGACAGGTGGCGCCATGCCATTGGCCGGCAGCAAGCGCAAGGAGCAGGAAGGTGCGTCTCCTCGTTTGCCTCCATAGCAACTACATCTCTAACTACATCTATAATTCTTATAGATTGGATGCTCTTGAGCGACATTCTTCTCACGCAAGCACCTGCCGGTGCAAGATATTTTCCCCGTCGAGCAAAGTACCTCCTCGTTCTATTCGCCACACTCCCCCCCGCCCAACCGGCCCCCTCTCTATCTCCTCCCAACCCACCAATCAGAGGAGGAGATGGCAAATGCAGAGGCCAGGGCACGCAAGCCCCCGCCGGTGCGACACATTTCCGGCTGTGCACACGACCTCCCCTTTCCTTCCCTCCTCCTCCGCCCCCCCACCCCCCCCTTCCCCCCCCCCACCCCCCCACCCCCCCCCCCCTCCCCCCCCCCTCCCTCCCCCCGTCCTCTCCTTCCCAACCAACCAATCAGAGGAGGAGATGGCGAATGCGGAGGCCAGGGCACGCAAGCCCCCACCGGTGCGAGATATTTTCCGCCTGAGGCAGCTGCAAAGGGCTCGGGCAGGTTCATCTGGGACAGGCTCGTTGAGCGGAGGGGCAGGTGGGACTGGGGGTGGTACTGCTAGTGGCAGTGATAGGTTTTCTGGAGGATCCATGTAGTTACGAGTGTTTTGCGGAGCGCTTACAAGATGAAGTTAAGCAATCGTTTCAGTAAGGGAAAAGAAAAGGGGAACGTAAGGGAAAGAGGGGAAAATAATGTGAGCCCAGAATCTGGTTGATCCACCCTGAGACGTTACACGACGCACTCTGCAAATCAAGCATTGGCATCTAAAATTAGCACTCTGCCTTCCAAAACAAGTGCCTAGGCCAATTTATTTCTACAGATGTTATGTAATGTTGTTGAGCAGCTCTCAAAATTGCAAAATGGCAACTGCTGTTTGCGAATGCACAGTACCTCAGATGCTCCGAAATGGTAGGGTTTTTACCCAGGAAAGGACCTGCGATTCCACGTGCAAGCACCAGTCCTTATTTCCGCGTCCCGCGGTCAATTGTGATTGCTGGAGCGTGTACACCCTCATTCTCGATAGACTGGCATATGTTAGACTGACCGCTACGCTTTGACTGACAGCAACGCACCAAAGGAGGTCTTATCACAATGCATACAAGCACAATTTGTCGCCTCAATCGTACCAGCCAGCTGGCCGATCTTGTTGACTGCACGTCTGACAACGAATGAGACGAACCGACCGAAATCACAATGACAGGGCGTCTGCAATTGCAATTTTGTTGTTACTGTAGCATTTTGCCATTTGCAATGCGCGGACACTGTTTGATTTTGCCACCTCAACCCTGGTTTGTCGCCAACTTCACAATTGCCTGTGAAACGGTTAGGGGCACCAGCGCGCTAGCTGTTCGCACTGTACACAGTGCGCGCGATGGTGAGAAAGGTGAGAATGAGGGTGTACATATTCTGCCGCGGGTGTGGACCTGCTGCCTGAATTTATTTCAGCCAACCAGAGGCTGCCAAATCCCACACCAGTTGTTTCTACACCAAGCACGGTGTAACGATCGGATCCCATCACGGACCCATTTGCATGAGGCCAATTCGTCTGTGGTGCCTTGTTGTCACCGTCAATTCCGCTACATGTGTTCGTCGCCATGCGGTGTGTCTCATCGTATTTGCGAAGACGCGCTTTTCGCTATGAGTTCGTTGGCCGGCTCGCGAACCAAGTAGGCACACTGTTTGACGACAATCAGCCAGTCTCTCACCGCCTCTGCCTGCGATAGTTGCGGTGATTCGGTGAAGCGTAACCGTTGGCAGCTTCGCTGTGTCCTGCTGGAGGGACGTCCTGGATTGCCTGCCAGCCGCGCGTGACTGGAGGAGGGTCCTGCGAACTTTCGAACACGGCTTCGTTGACTCTGCACCTGTGCTTCGCGAACGTCGTTAAGCTCGCTACCGCCCAATCTCCATCACTCGTCTGAGGCAAGATGTGGGAAAAGAGGGCAGGTCGTTACCTGACGCTTCGTCAACGTCGACTTTGAAAGTGACGTGGAGGATAGAGCGAGTTTGAAACGAGAGTTGCAGAGCAGACTGCAGTGCGTTTCTAGCGTGTACAGTACATGAGTACATGCACAGTACAATAGACACTTCTCCTCCCCCTCCACCACAAAACACAAGCCCAGCTGCCACTACCCCCACGCGCGGACGCTAAAATGCTGCAAAACCCTACAGGGAGCTTTCCAGTTCCACGTAGCAGAGCGACGAGACGAACTAAGAGAGCTTGCTCCGCAAGCAAAGCCGTCTGGTTCGGCCCGGATGCTTCAATGTCGCAACGCGGCCGTGTTTCCCAGTGGGAGGGCTGAATTAGTTTCTTACGATCATGCGCATCTGTTGATCGCCAGTCTCGTATCCCTAAAACGACTTAGTTATTTTCACAGTTTTCCAATTCGTGTGGTCTCGTTCAATTTTCTCAACTCCAGATACTGGCTTATTTAGAAATTAACTTCAGAAGTGTGATGCAACAGGTTTTTTCTAGAGCTCTGATATTCGCTACCGAGATGGATCTCGCAAATAAAGACTTCGTCGATCAGCCCAACCGAAATCGCTCGGATATGGCGACCAGCTCCTTCGCGGACGAAATGGAGGCCGTCCGATTGATAGGAGATCATCAAGCGTATAGAAGCTTCGAGGGTGATCTAGCCGTTGATTCTAGGCAATACTACGCCGGAGACGCCGGGTACTCCGATATAGGCGACCCGTTAGGGACGGATAGAGACGTCATGACGCGCGGAGATGGCGATGCGACGATGCAGCGAGGTTCGCAGATGCGCGCTGCGCAGAACATGCAACTGCAGCAGCAACAGCAGCACCAACAGCAGCAGTTACAGCAGCAGCATCTACAGCAGCAGCTACAGCAGCAGCAGCAGCATTATCAACAGCAGCAGTCACTGCAGCAGCATCATCAGCAGCAGCAGCAGCAGCAGCAGCATCTTTCCTCCCTCGCCTCCCACCCCCCCGTCCCATCCGTTACCGTCTCCGAGCCTCCTTCCTCCATCTCATCCTCGTTAGTAGCTGACGCGAAACCGTCCAACGATATCAACTTCGAGCGCGCCGGCGAAGATTATCGGCTTCAACTAGCCCTCGCGCTGCGCCTAGCCGCCGAGGCGTCGTTTCTAGACGAAGCCAGCGAGAAGCGACGCGGGTCCGGGCGGGCGGGTTTGGACTTCGCAGAGTTCGACGCGCGGGGAAAGGGGGTGACTGGCGCGGGGGATAGGCGGAGAGGGGGTCCGCGGAAGGCGGGGAGGGACGACGGGAATGCAGCGCGGGGGAGGGAGGAGGACGAGCGGCGACCGGGGCATAAGCTGCATCCGTGGGAGCTGGAGCGGTGCATCTTCCGCTTCTGGGTGAGCGTCAGCGTTAGTCGAGCGTTCATTCTGTTCATCCATGTTCGCGAGCCTTTTTTAACGTGTAGCATTCGATGTCGCGTACCTCGGGCCAGGGCATAAGCTTCATCCGCGGGAGCTGGAACGGTGCATCTTCCGGTTCTGGGTGAGCGCTAAGTTCCGATCACCTATGTCGCGTACGCGTTATAATGTAGCCTGTCTCATTGTAGTGTACCCTTTTGCGTGTGGCATCCGTGGGAGCTGGAGCGGTGCATCTTCCGCTTCTGGGTAAGCGCTAGTTCTAATCACCTACGTCCTCCGCGCGCGTCGAGAATGTATGCCTTGTACTGTATCCCGTTTGCGTTATAATGTACCCTGTTGCAATGAGACACAGTAGCATGCGCTGTCGTGTGTGTCCCCGTGGGAGCTGGAACTATTTGTTTCCGGCGGTGTTGTGTACTAATGATGTCGTTAGGGTTTACTCGCTGCCTACATGCGTGCGTGCGTGCGTGCGTGCATTCGTTGGGTGCGCGTGCGCGTCTGTCGCGATGCGTTCGACAGAAGTCGATTCGGTCGGTGGGTCGCGGTGCTAGCAAGGCTTGTAACGCTAGTGCGGGAATTTCAACGCATTCACACTTGGGGTTTGAATCCTAAGGCGTCTGGAAACGCGTTGTGAGGGCCCCGCATTCCTGCGCATTTAGGGTTTGAGTCCCAAGACGTTCAAAACGCGTTGCTAATGTGTCGCGCTCTCGCTCCCGTGCCACTGTGGGTTCGAGTTCGCTCCTGAAATCCACGTTCAGAGAAGACTCGTCGCGGACTCGCGGTTCTACACATCAGTCTCATCTCCCTCACCGCCCTCCACCACTCCCCACCCCCGCCCACCACTCCCCGCCACCTCCCACCACTTCCCACCGCTTTCAACCCCTCTCCAGACCACCCAGGTCCTGGAATACAGCGATGCGGCGGACTCACGGTTCTACGGGGTGTTCGGATCCGCGCTGAACGCCAAGGTGTGGGGGGTGTGCGGTCAGTGCTCTCATCCCTCCCACCACTCACCACCACTCCCCACCGCTCCCCACCGCTCCCCACCCCTCTCCACCACTCTCCCCAGACCACCCAGGTCCTGGAGTACAGCGACGCGGCGGACTCGCGGTTCTACGGAGTATTCGGGTCCGCTCTCAACGCCAAGGTGTGGGGCGTGTGTGCGGAGGCGCGCGGGCAGGGCCACATGCCGACGCTGGACATGCTGCGCGCGCTGGCAGCGCATGACACGGCGGTGGACGTGGTGCTGGTTGACTTTGAAGAGGATAATGGGCTCAGAAAGCTCGTTGCTAGGCTGGCGGCTGGGCGTGGGAAGGCGCAGGGGCAGGGGCAAGCGCAGGCGCAAGGGGAGGCGGAAGGGCAGCGGAATGGCGAGCCTACAGCGGGTGACGTTGCAAGGTAGGTGGAATATGTTGGGGTAGGTGGGTGGGTGGGTGGGGTGGGTGTGGGAAGAGGGGCAGGGCCACATGCCGACGCTGGAGATGCTGCGGGTGCGGTGGCTGGTGGGGACGCGCTGGCTGGCGGCGCATGACACGGCGGTTGACGTGGTCCTCGTCGACTCTGAGGAGGATGCTTGGTTCAGAAGGCTGGTCGCTACGGTAGGTGGGTGGGTGGGTGGGCAGGTGCGAGGGGACGTGCTGCGGGTGCTGGCGGCGCATGACACGGCGGTTGACGTGGTCCTCGTGGACTCTGAGGAGGATGCTTCCTTTAGGGCTTTAGGCGACTGGTCGCTAGGCTGGCCGCGGGGCGGGGGAAGGCGCATGCGCAAGGCATCTCCAGCGTCGGCATGTATGTGGCCCTGCACTCAGGGGCAGGGGGAGGGGGAGGGGGAGAGGAGTGGCGAGCCTACAGCGGGTGACGTTGCAAGGTAGGTGGAGTGGAGTGGAGTGTGGTGGGGTGGGTGGATTTGCTGAGTGTGCTGGGTGGGTTGGGTGGGAGGGGGAGATACTGCGCCGCCTATCACCCGTTCTCATCATCATCCCATCATCATCCCATCCTATCCCATCCCATCCCATACCATCCCATTCCTCCGACTCCACACTCCAATGTCCCTCGATTTCCCTTCCGTTTCCGTTCCCCTCGTTTCCATTCTCTCCCTTTCCCCTCCTCTATCACGCTCCCCTGCATTGCCGTCCTCCTCACCTCCCTCTTTCCTCTATCCCTTCTTATTCATTCCTGTGCGTGCTGTCAGGGCGGTAGCAGAGGCCATATGGGTGGGCCGGTGTTATAAGATC